CGACAGAGGACGGAGCGGAAAAACGAAGTCCGCACCTGTTACGGCTAACTGCCTGAGTTACGATCTTTCGACAATTTGGCCAATAGCAAGGCGTTCGTCACGTGTAGACTCGAATATCACGCGGTGACTTGTGTTGATTGTGTCCGTAACTTGAAGTTGAATTTACTTTAGTATTAGAGGAAAAGCACTGAATTCGAGACAGACGCCTAATTTGAGACACCGTCGTATATTTGTGGCATAGGGCGACATTTAGTGAAAATATTGAAAACTGCATTCATTTTGTGCAGTAGTGGTAGATCTGCTTTTAGTTGACGCTTAGAAGTGACCTTTGTTGTTTTTTCGACGTTAATTAGATTTACACATTACACAAATTTGTTTCGAAATTTATAAAAACTTACAATATATCAAGGTAAGATGATTACATGTACTCCAAATATTTTTTTGTTAGTTTAATATTAGTTAATACATTTTATGCAAATTAAACGGTAATTGTGTGGCATACATAACCAACAAAAATGCGTTTTATTTTTAACGGAAAAATCCTAATTTGAGATACCTGTAGGTTCCAAATTTGAGAGTGTCTCATTTTTTTCTCATTCTTTTTTTATCTCCCAATAAAATTTTTTTGTTTGTAGATGCCACCAAAAAATAAAAAATGGAACGCAAGTGATGTGATAAGGGCTGCAAATCCAGTAATAAATAGAGAGATGGGCTATTTGAAGGCCTCAAAAGTTTTTGGAGTACCAAAAGGTACCTTAGAACGATATGTGAAATCAGATAAGACTCCAGAAGAACTCGTCGGGATATCAACTGGCCGCCGACATATTCTTCTTTTGGAATTAGAAAAAGAGTTGGTTGGGTATGCCCTATAGTGTACTTTTATGTATGAGAGAGTAATAAAACAATAAATTATGTATGCAAATCCCTAAACTGTTGATACGGGTGACTCAATGAAAAACAGATATTTGTCAACAAGTTTACAGAAGTATATAGGAAAACAATTTTAAATTGAGTATGACCACCAGGTATAAAGGTTGGAGCAGAATAGAATACAATAGTTGTGAGGGTTACTAATCCCTGAATAAGGTTGCCAGTGTCGGAGTGATGGAGGTTAACAGGTACTAATGAATTTGCAAGAAATGTAAGATGTTTATTTTATTGGTTATATATAACCAATAAAAGTTTAATAAGTACCTACCTATTTGCAAAATAAAGTTTAATTCTTTAGATAAAATAAAACGTTTTATTTTATCTGAAATGAGTGCATTCCACGAAGTAAGGGTTTCAACAATCAAACATTTAATTCTTTAATTCCAGGAATCTACGACAGTAATTGACTAGATAATTACCTTCTAAACTTATTCCACAGAAAATGTGATAGTGGGTTTTTCCATTTTGTAGGAAGGTCCAAGTGGCGTATTCAAAATTCTTAACAGTTCACTAGAAGTAGGTACTTCAGTTGCAAGGTGCAGTTTATTGTGTATACTAGTGTTATGGAAAATTTGGAAGTGCCGTGTAAACGCCGAAAAATTGGTCCTTTAACAGTTAATGAAAAAACATTAATATTTAATTGTTTTAAATCATTTACAGACAAACGTTTATGTGAAAGTGTTGATGAGACCGTTGAGTTAGTTAGAAGTACACTTGGTGTTGGGAAATCTACGATTTACAGAGTTATTAAAGAAGAGAAATGTGGTAGTTTTCAAATGCCACGTAATGCTCCAGGGAAACCAAAATTTCAAATAGAATATCATTCTAGAGAAGGACTTCGACGGAAAGTGCATGAATTCTTCTTAGACAAGAATTCCAACATGGATAAAGTTATTACTATTAACTGGAATAAGCCACAATTAAAGATAAAAATACGTTATTGACGTTTCAATTCCACTTCGGAAATCGTTCGGAAATTGGTTTGTATTTTGAGAACGATTTCCGAAGTGAAATTGAACGTCAATAAACGTATTTTATCTTTAATTGGCTTATTCCCAGTTAATAGTAATTAATTTACAATGCCACAAAAAATAGATTCAGAACAATATTGGATAAAGTTCTTGTCTTAGTTCGAGATGATAAGGATTACCCAGAAATGAGTCGAAGTACGTTATGGAAACTTTTAAAAGAAATAGGCTTCCGCTGGAAAAAGAATCCCAGAAAGTCTATTTTATTAGAAAGAAGCGATATTGTCATATAGAGAAGACATTTTCTAAGAACCATAAAGGAAATGAGAAACCAAAAAAGAAAAATATTTTATCTTGATGAAACATGGATCAACGAGGGTCATACACCAAATAAATTTTGGCAGGATGAAACTGTTATAAGTCAAAGGCACGCTTTTGTAAATAACTTATCTACTGGTTTAAACCCACCATCAGGAAAGGGACGCAGGCTGATAATAGTACACATTGGCAGTTCAGACGGTTTTGTTGAAGGTGGTTTATTAACTTTTGAATCAACTCGTACCGGTGACTACCATGAAGACATGAACGCTGATGTCTTTCAAGAATGGTTCGAACAAATGATAGATCTTCTTCCTAAGAACTGTGTAATAGTAATGGATAATGCAAGTTATCACTCCAGACTTAGAGAAGGACTGCCCACAACCAAGTGGTTAAAAAAAGACTTGCAGAATTGGCTGAGTTCAAAAAATATTACGTACCATCCCGGATCTATAAGAAAGGAACTTTATTCGTTGTGTGTGTGCCCTTCATAAAGAAAAATTTAAAAAATACGAGATTGATGAAATTGCCAAAAATCGTGGAATGACAGTACTTAGATCCCCACCATATCATTGTGAATTAAACCCGATTGAACTGGTATGGGCACAGATAAAGAGTGAAGTTTCAAGAAAAAATACCACTTTTAAAATTCATGATGTTAAACAGTTGTTTTTTGGAGGCCGTAAATAATGTAAAACCTGAAAACTGGGAAAAGGCAGTAAATCACACTATTAAAGAAGAGGAAAAAATGTGGAAGCTGGACAATATTACTGATAAAATGATCGAGCCAGTTATTATAAATCTTGGTTCTGAAAGTTCATCTTCTGAATCTGATTTGGATTTGTAAAGTAGCTGTAAGTTTTATATTAATATTTTTATTCATCTATTTAACATACCTTAGACGGTTTTAAAAACTCTTTTTCTCTTTCGTAATTTTTAAAAATTAAAAAAAATGTGAATTTTTTAAAACCCTTTTTAATGTAGGCCAGTCAGTTCTAATATAGTGTGTGATAAAAACAGGTCACTTTTGTTTAGATACAGATAACACTTTATAACACTGAAATAATTCATTTATTTTTTGAGTGGTCGGAGATACCAGTTAAAATTATGCTAATTACTCTCTCGTTCACAAAAATAAACTATAACTATGGAGCAACGTTATTTCGGGCTAAGAGCGCGTGATATAAAACGACTGGGGATTTCAACTTGCGATAGGAAACTCAATACCACATTCATTTAACGGAGTCGAAAAATCAGCCGAAAGTAATGTTTGAGGCACTTTCTGAAAAGTCATCCGACGCTTTCAATGCGTACTCCTCTGGGAATGTCATGTGCTCGAGTAAAATCTTTTACTCCTTAAAATGTATCCAAGTGCTTTGACCTGTATGAACCAGAATATCTTAAGCCTACTAACCCTGTACAACGTATATTCAATGTAGATGAAACGGGCCTTACAATTGTTCAGCACAAACAAAGCAAAGTAATTTCCATGAGAGGAAAGAAGCAGGTTTCCTCACTTACTTCAGCAGAAAGGGGCAGGCTGATTACTGCTATTACATGTATGAATGTTGCAAGAGTTTTCCTACCACCATTATTAATCTTCCCTAGAAAAAAATATGAAAACAGAGTTGATGCTGGAGCTCCCACTGGAGCAATCGTAGAATGCCATGTGTCAGGTTGGGTACAGGCCGATATGTTCAATAGATGGCTTCAACACTTCATAAAATTCACTAAACTCTCAGCTGCAGACCCTGTTCTTCTCATCCTTCTTCTCTCGTTGGATGTTGCTTTTATGGCAACGCTGAAAACTTATCACTACGCACAAGAAATAGAAAACTGGCTTAGAGAAAATCAGTTGAGTGTTGTGTCGCCTTGTGCCGTTGCCAGTATTTTTTGTAAAGCGTATAACAAAGTTGCGACGATGGAAATATCCTGCAAAGGTTTCTGAAAAACTGGACTGGTTCCTATTTGTCGCCATACTTTTAGAGACTTTGAATTTGGAATTCAAGAGCATTTAGAAACACAAAACAAAAGGGACGAACAAATAATAGAACCAAACCATGAACAACCAAGTCATCCAATGCGAGAACATAGAACTCCTAGTCCATCACTACATTCTACAAGAGAGATACCACTAAAAAACCAAATGCCAGATCAGGAAAGGCTTCAGTGATTCCTCTAACACCCTACAAAGAAGAATTAGAACAAAGTTTGCAGAAGAAAAAAGCAAAAAAATAGTACCCCAGCTAAACTTGGATTGTGTATTTGCTCCAGAAAAAAAAAACAGTTTAACAAAAGGTGTTAGATAAAAAAAAAACAGCAACGCCCGAAGAAAAAATAGCAGATGAAAACGTACGAAAACTGTCTACATCAAAAGGCAAAACATCAAGAAGAAAGCGGAAAGTTTCATCGAGTTCAAACTCAGATAGCAGTGACGACTTTCTATTAGCTGATTCATCGTCCAACGAAAGTGAAAAAAAAAACGACGCGGAATGTTTATTTTGCAGCGGCTAATTTTCCGACAATAGATATGGCGAACGATGGGCAAAGTGTTATCATTGTGGCAGGTGGGCACATAAAGACTGTGGAGAAATAAAGTCCAGCACATTTATTTGCCTTTTCTGCGAAGGAAAGAGGTTTTTTAAATAGTATTTAAAATTTAGGTACCTGTCTCAAGTTAAGATACCTGGCTATCCCAAATTAGGGCACCTTTTATTTTTAATATTAAATGTCGCAAAAAAATTAAATGTCTTTTTTTGCAAAAATATATTTTGCTTTTTTTTTGTGTTATAGAAAAATTAAAATTAATTTGTCGAAATAAAAGTTTTTAAAACTTTTGAATATTCTGTTTTATATTTGTTTTTCAAAAAAAGTGTCCCAAATTTGGTGCCTTTCCTCTATATAGTATTTTGTCTTTTCTTTTAGCCCATTTTATAAATGGTTACGGTTCAAACTTTCAATTTGAGTTTTCTCTATTTCTACTCAGATTGACTCTTATCGTTTTTACCTCTGACCCTTCATTTTTATTAGAATTATACTATTCATTTTTTGTTCTTAATGGATTAGTATATTCTACCACAGGACTTTTGTAAAGCGGGTTTAATTCCGTTGTATTTTTAGATTCTTTTAAGAATTTGTTATATTCTGCACGTTCTTGTCGGTAATTATTAATTTTAAATATCAAAATGAATAAGATGCCTCCTATAAGTATTATAGATATAATTCCGACGGCAAGCATCATCGGAAGACTTGCTGCCCTTCTACAAATCTTTTTGGCTAGTATAACTGGTCTCCCTGTATCTTCTGACTTGTAGTAGCAATACTCTATAATACAGTAATCGTTGTCTTCACTTGCGTCAATATGACAGATATCCAAATTTTCAGCTAAAAGTAAAATAAAAGTTTAATGTAAAAAAATTGCTATTCAAGAATGTTTCAAACAATCAGTATTAACAATATAAAGACTGTCTTAATGTATATACATATATATATATATATATATATATATATATAATATATATATATATATATATGTTATATGTGAAAATAGTCACCTTGAACCACTCAAGGGTTACCGACACTTTGGTTTCGCAATATCAGTTCCTATTTCATCATTCTTTTAGCAAGCGTTCCCATAGAGATAGCTGACTATGCACGGACATCAAACTCTGACCAAAGCTGGCCTTTCGTGGGAAATGCCGACACCACATTTTGTAGATAGATTATAAATTCAGGACTAACATTATATTTTTCACTCGTCATATAAGTTTCTTACTAATAACATTTGTATTATATAATTTTATTTGCTTCATTTTATCGTATAACTAAGTGTAACTTTTATTTGTGAAATAAATCTTTTTTAAAAAGTCAATCAAGAAGTTAGTGATTTAACATTTGGCGCAGTCAGTAGGATCCGGTTAACGTTGTTAGAACAAGGAAACTCACTAGCAACGGCGGATCCCTATCCCTCAACGGAAAAAGAACCTAGAGCCGTCCTCATTCAACTGGATACTACGGAAGGAACACCTGGTGAAGCCCCTGGTAGCAGATCCCGTTAGAAAACAAGACGTACTCGATGTTTCTGTTAATGTAAGTTATTGAATCATCTCGTTTTTACTATTTTTATATTTGCAAACATACCGTACATACATCATAATTTTTTTCAATTTATAATCTTGACTATACAGAAAGTCAAGCCAAGTTGATTATCTAATAAGGAAATACCTTTTTATTGCATACTTTTATTATTTTATCATTCTTATTTACACATTTTATTGATTTCGTATTATATTTTCACCGATATTTTACTATATTTTACTTTATTTTACCACATTTTACTTGATTTTACCATATTTTACTTGATTTTACTACATTTTATTTTATTTTACCATATTTACTATTCGTATATTTTGTTTTATACTTCCACTAACATATTATTATCAAAATGCCTGAAACACGTTCACAAACCCAAGTTGAAATTGAACCATACAAACTTTCAGAAATATTCTCCATAATTCCTGAGTTTGAAGGAGACCCAATCTCTCTTCCCACATTCTTAGACGCATGTGATTGCGCGATTAAAATGTCTTCGGGAGACCAACGTATTTTATTAACGATTCACATTAAAAATAAACTAAAAGGTAAAGCAGCTCAATTAATAAACTCTAGAAAACCAACTTCATACACAGACATAAAAAATTTATTAAACCTTCATTTCGGAGATAGTAGAGATCTCACTTCCTTAATTCACGACCTACAAAGACTTCGACAGTTATCGAACGAATCACCTTTAACCTTTTTCAATAGATTACAAGTTCTAAATGCAAACATGCACGCCTCAATTCAAAAATCAGGCCTAACACAAGACCAAAAAACCGCCCAATGCACGTTAATTGACTCTATGGCTTTGAATACTCTCTTAACTGGACTAGAACCCCGCTTAGGACAAATAATTAGGGCCAGTAACCCTAAAGACCTTATTGAAGCCAGTAACCGTATCCGACGTGAACTTCAGTTATCGTATTTCGAATCTCAAAAATCAAATAAAGATAGCCAAAATAATCCAAAACCTTCCCAACCGATGAGAAGAACCTCATCTAATTTTTCTAAATGTACAAGTTGTGGTCGTATTGGCCATTTAAGTAGCGAATGTCGCTCATCACGTTTTTCTTATCAAAATCAATATAGCGGTAGACCACAAAACTACCAAAATAATCAAAACCAATCCAATCAATATAATACTAGATCACAAAATTACCCAAGTAATCAAAACCAATACTCTTCTAATCAACAAAATTTAAACCCACAGAGATCGAATTTCCCTTCTCAAAATCAACCGCAGAATCGCCCCTCTGTTATTCAGAGAAATCCAAATTTCCAAAATTTTCAGCAAAGAGCCCATGTCTTTAATGAATACCCTGACGATCTTGTAGAATCTTATGAAGATTATTATACAGAAAATGATCTTCAAACTAACTATTTTTACGAATATACCAATGACACATCTGATTTTATTAATAATACACCTGATACAGAAAATTATCAGGATTTTCTTTCGCTACCCAATCAGAACCATCCCCCAGTACATACGAATCTTTCAACCGATATCACGAATGTACAACAACAAATCCAAGCCCTCAATTTGGACAATTTCGATCCAAATGTGAATTTCCCCGAACAGAAATTCCTGTAAGCCCCTTCCACACAATGAGCTCTAAAAACTTATATTATATCAATGACGCTACGAATACTTTTAAACTTCTAATTGACACCGGTGCAGGAATTACAGTTTTCAAAGAGAATACTGCACGAAATTATCATAACCGATCCCCAGAAAATGTTACCATTCAAGGCATAACCGACGAGAAACTTCTAATTACAGAATCTGTCCTTATTCCCTTTACCGATGACAACCCTCACAAAGTTTTCATTTTTAATCTAGACATTGACTTTGACGGCATAATAGGCCTAGATTTCCTAGACCACTACGAATGTGTAATAGACCTTAAAACAAGACAACTTCATACAAATTTTAAAACTCTTACCCTGCATAAAGTCGGACAAGAGACCCATAAACCCATAGAAAATATTCCGGTTACATTTCCTACAAAAATAGTACCGTCAAATAATTTCCAAACATATCCGAAATCAAACTCAAACGTTAAAGCTCAACACAATAGCAGCTCATTTCACGAAAACACTCATGATCAACACAAACACATCCCAAGACCAGAGAAAAAACGAATAAAAGAAAAAATAAACCAAATTTCGATTGATAGCCGAACAGAACAAATATTCAAATTGAAATGCAACCTATCCAATACAGACGCAATACTGTCATCCCAAGAAATCGAAAAAGTTCGAATTCCTCACGCATTAGTCCATGTAGACGAAAACGGAGACTTTTTAACTTCCGTCATTAATGCTAATGCAATGCCAAAAATAATCGAATTTTCGAATATTTCCATCGAACCTATCGAAAACTTGGAGACAATCTTCACCTACGACCAAATCATGAACCAACCATTCATCGAAAAACATTTGCCTTGGTTCACTATATTGTCCTTATCATTAATTATCATTCTAGTTTTTGTATACATCCTCTGCAAATGTAGACGCAAAAGATTTCCAAGACTTGCCATGAACTACCCTCAGGACTCACCTCCACCTTCACCACATCGCAGCAGTTCCATTAAACAGAAACTTAAAGGATTAACCTTTAAAAGAAGACCAGACGTACGCCCAGAAAATGAAGACGTCTCCGAAACCCCAATTGAGCTTTAAAAGTCGAAGCAAGGAATCGACTTTTCACTAATGAGGGGAGCTGTTATATGTGAAAATAGTCACCTTGAACCACTCAAGGGTTACCGACACTTTGGTTTCGCAATATCAGTTCCTATTTCATCATTCTTTTAGCAAGCGTTCCCATAGAGATAGCTGACTATGCACGGACATCAAACTCTGACCAAAGCTGGCCTTTCGTGGGAAATGCCGACACCACATTTTGTAGATAGATTATAAATTCAGGACTAACATTATATTTTTCACTCGTCATATAAGTTTCTTACTAATAACATTTGTATTATATAATTTATTTGCTTCATTTTATCGTATAACTAAGTGTAACTTTTATTTGTGAAATAAATCTTTTTTAAAAAGTCAATCAAGAAGTTAGTGATTTAACATATATATATATATAATATATATATATATATATAAATATATATATATATATATATATATATATATATATGTATAATGTATATATATGTATATACATATATATATATATATATATATATATATATATATTATATATATATATATATATATATATATATATATACAGGGTGAGTCACCACTAACGGGACGGAAGATTACAGCGAAACGGTAAAAGATTTTGAAAACATTTAAATTTATAGTTTGAAGGTTGATAAGGGCTACATTTTAAAATTATTTTAAAATATACAGGGCGTCCCAATAAAATGCGGCGTATCAAAGTTATAATTTTTCTTATGACCCACCCTATATTTTATTACATTTTCTAATTGTCAGCAAAAAATTATTTATAGTTTCATAAGACTTCCCTATACCTATGTACAGAGTGTCCCGAGTTATGTGGAATATTCTTAAAATGTAAAGCTTTTAACGAAGACTCATTCCTAACTTATTTAAGAAATTCTAATAAAATTGGTTATACCTCTAAATAGTTAGATATTGGTTAAATGGAACACCCTGTATATTAATGAATTATTATATTGAAATAATTTTCCAATTTCGAATGGTTAATGGATGTCCTATAACTAGGAGTGATAGATTTTGGGTAATTTAAAATTTTCTTTTCTGTTTCAAAATATTTCTAGTTGTACTCTCGATTTTTAAACCCATCATTTTGACATATTTGTTATAAATGAAACCAATGTAGTTGTAAACAAATGTGTATACTTTATACTTTTACCTGCTGATGCACAACGAATTAGAAAGAATTTTAATAAAACAAATAATACAAAATAAACCACAACTTACTACATTATAAGCAAAAAAAATTTTCTAAAGAAGACTCATTCTCGACTTATTTAAGGAATTATAACAAATTTTCTCTTACATCGAAATAGTTGGGTAATGGTTAAATTTATTCCATTATTGATCATTAAACATTTATTTACAGGGTGTCTTTTAAACAAAGAAAATACTTACCACAACTTAATTCATCTTTATCTTCGATTATCTCCAAATTCGCAGTACTCGATGGTGGTGATTTTCGCGTCAAGTAATTTTGAACGTCCTTATTATAAGCTTCACAAATAGTATTCTTCTCTGTATTTTTCTCACAGTAGATACCAGTATATCCCTGATTGCAATTACATTTATTACATTTACATTCTCCCTGTTCATTACAAAGACAGCTCCATCGAAACTGCATGCTACTTCAGATTCAGAGCATGTACAGTCTTCTCCTGTAAATCCATCCTGACATATACAGATTCCATTATGGCAATATCCTTTTGACAGCCCTCCGCATATTATTAATTCTGCTCCTATTCTCTTGAATGGACACTGATATTGGCAGTATTGACCTGAATACGTTAATTCACATTCACAACGGCCACATTTGCACTCTCCGCTAAAAAATACAATTATTTTTTAAATGTAATTGGTATATTTGTGGTAATACATAATAGTAAAACGCTCAAATTTGTAGATTTTGATAGATCTGCTTTAAAATATCGTATGTGCTAAAATTAATTTTGACCATTTTTAACTTACATTTCACCTTACAGTGACCTTTCCTCTTACCGCGTGCGTGCATCGATGCATATGGTAAAACTTTGGCAAATGTTGTTCTAGTAATAGCGAGACATGCTTGCGTAATTATTTCTCGTAATTACCCAAGTGACGTAGGTTGAGTTTTATAAACAACTGACTTCAGATAAACCCACAGAAAAAAGTCAGGTGGTGGTAAGTCTAATAGCATTTGGATTAAATAACTATATTCCAGTTGCTTCAAATCCAGAACAAACATTTTTGCGTCATTGCGTTTTTCCAAACGGGCGTAAATATTTGCCCAAATCTTGCTCGGTTGATGGTACTAGTTCTTGCAGAATTTGTGTTTTGTCCGGATGAATCTTATGTAATTTCAACACCTTTCTAATCGACTCTTGTAAAAGTCCTGTCATTGCAGATACTTGACGTGTTGATGCAGTAGGTTCTATTGCAAATTTCCAAGGACCTCAATTTGGGATCCTTCATTCAGTAATCTTGGCGCTCAAATTTTTTTTCACTGATCCCGTTTCTCGAAACTTTTCAACTAAATCGCGAGTTCAGGTATACTGTAAACCATTGTGACTGTTAGAATATCCAACATAAAAAGTGGATGTTGTCCTATAGTTGTTTTAGATGAAGTGACATTGTTGATAGTTTAATGTTAGATCAAAAATGTATTAACTACTGTCAGTCAATTTTTGTATTGTTCTGTAGGCAAAAAGAAATAAAGTACATATTGCCTTGTCTTTGGATGACTTAAAACTTCACCTAACTTAAATTATAACAGGTTTTGGGCCGAGTCCACGTGTGAACTGTGAAGAGGTTAGGTTTGTACTTCATTCGGTTTTGTTTGTTGTTAGTTATCGGTGAATAAAATATGGCGACCAACAATAACGATTATAAAATTCAGTTGACAAACTCGAGGGTCCTGAAGACTGGGCAAAGTGGAAATGGCACGTTTCGATATTATTACGTTCGTATGCACTTGAAGACATTGTAAACGATATGTGTTAGTGTCCTGAGGTTAGTGAAGATTCAACTTTAGTGGAAATACATAAGCATCAGCAATGGTTAAAAGACGATGCGAAAGCGGCAAGTTTGTTAGCAGGTACGCTAGAAAAACTGTTGCCGAGCTCGTGTTGACGTGTACTCACGCTAGTGAAATATGGGACAAATTGCGTGCGAGATTTGAACGTAGCAGTACGCAACGGTTAAACATGTTAATTGAAGCCTTTTTTAGAGTAAAACGTGATGAAAAAGAAGATATTAGTACACATGGTGCGAAGTTGCAGAAACTGTTTGTAGATTTGAATGATGAACTGCAGAAGCATGATGAAAATGTTTTATCCGAAAGAATGTTAAATGGTCGATCTTATCAACTTTGGGTAAGGACTTTGATAATTTCAAAGATTTGTGGGACACGATACCATCAAAGAATCAAACTTTGAATTTGCTGATTGAGAAATTGTGTACCATTGAATTACGTGACCAAAGGACTGTAGAATCTTTTGCGTTTGTTGCACGCAATAGCCTGACAGGAAAATACAATCAGAACCAAACTATGAAGTCAAAGAAAAATGTACATCGTGCAAAAGAAAAATTTCAATGTCATAAATGCAAGAAATTAGGCCATTGGGCGAAAGAGTGTCCGTGAAAAAATCAGCTGAGAATGTAGGTAAGAATAAAAATAATGATACTGCTTTTTTGTCTGTTGTTTTAAGTGCCTCATCTAACAATTGTATTGAAGCTGGAAAATGGTATTGTGACAGTGGAGCCACAAATCATATCACTAGAGACAAGCAGTATTTCTCATCTTATACAGAATTTTCTGAACCAGAAAGTATATCACTTGGTAAGAAGGATGTATGTATGTTAGCCCATGGACAAGGAACAGTAAAAATTCAAACGCATCTGAATAATAAATGGAAAGGTGCTGACTTGAGGAATGTTTTTTATGTTCCTAAAGCAAGTGCTCATTTATTTTCTGTGAAAGCTGCTGCACAAAGGGTTTTATTACAGTACACGATGAAAAAGGTGTAAATATATATGATAAAAACACTTGTGAATCTGTAATGACTGGGTACTTCTGTAATGGCCTGTATGCACTTGATATACATGTTATGAAACCGACAAATTCCGTTCAAGTCAACTTAGCAGAGTCAACAGATATGTTGCAAGTGTACCATGAAAGATTTGGTCATCAGCATAAGCAACATGTAAAGAAGGTATTGAAGAAAATGAATATAGACATTGATGGGTGCAAAGAAAGCTTTTGCGATGGATGTGCAATTGGAAAAATGCATAGATTGCCATTTAAATCTAGGATCAATCGACTACAAGTCACTGGTGACAGATCCATGCAGATGTCAATGGCCCATGTCTATAGAATCACTGGGAAAAGCACGTTATTACGTATGTTGTAAAGATGACTTTAGTAAGTTTCGGAAAGTTTTCTTTATGAAACACAAAAGTGAGGTATGTACTTTCTTAGAACAATTTTTAAATGAAGCTAGTACAAATGGCCATGTAGTAAAGCAACTGAGATGCGATGGAGGGAGAGAGTTTGACAACAAAAAAGTATCTGAACTTCTTGCGAAGATAGGTATAGAGCATTGTATTACTCCACCCTATACACCTCAGCAGAATGGTGTTGCTGAAAGGGAAAACCGCACCATTGTAGAGTGTGCACGTTCCATGTTAAACACATGTAAGTTGTCCAAACAATTATGGGCAGAAGCTTGCAATACTGCAGTGTACATCCTGAATCGCACAGGAAAGTCATCAATTGAAAGTAAAAGTCCCTATGAACGTGGTATGGAAAGCCATTGGAAGTTTGAAACATTTAAGAATATTTGGCACTGAATTTTTATGTTCACGTAACAAGAATCTTCGCAGTAAATTTGATGACAAAGCGATACATGGTTATTTAGTTGGTTATGTGAACGACAGGGATGGTTTTAGATATGGATTCCATCTGAAAGAAGAATCGTACCGAGCCACGACGTACGATTTAAACCTGAGGTTATATGCAACTTGCGAATTGTTGAAGGTAAAGCACAATCATGAACCAACATCAGTCGGAATGTTTTAGTGTGAATGAAAACTCCGAAGAAATGAAAAGTGGTGTCGGTGAAATTGTGGAATCTGAGAATATAAAAAGTGTAGAAGAAATTGCGAGTGAAAATCAGAAGTGAATAGAAAAGAAAGAAATAGTGATAGTGTTCAAGAATCTAAGCGTTTACCCTACACATGTTAGAAATAAACCAAATTGTATAATGATTTTTGTTATGTCTATTATTTAGCGTATCTACTTTTCATGTTGAGGGAGAGTGTTAGAATATCCAACATAAAAAGTGGATGTTGTCCTATAGTTGTTTTAGATGAAGTGACATTGTTGATAGTTTAATGTTATGTCAAAAATGTATTAACTACTGTCAGTCAATTTTTGTATTGTTCTGTAGGCAAAAAGAATAAAGTACATATTGCCTTGTCTTTGGATGACTTAAAACTTCACCTAACTTAAATTATAACATTGACAACTACAGCTGAATGACAGTACCGATTGTACAAATTGGTACAAATGATGAAAACTAATGACATTTGACATTTAAAATTCTCAAATAAATAAAAAATTATTGAATCTGACAGATCCCAAAAATAGATGTTTTCAACTTGTTTTGAAAAAAAAACGGCAAATAAGTTTTTATACAAAAAAAAATCGACGGTCTCTTTACATTACAAGATAGCATTAGATTAGATAGCATTACAAATACAAAAGTCATAGTCAGCTGATTTTAATACCCTGTATAATTATTAAACAATAATTATACAGGGTCCTCATTAGAATCAACAAAAACCTCATTAAATTTTCCATTTAAGCCAAAGTTTCACATTTATTGCTTTTTATATATTTATAGTTTCTTCAATGATTTATCACAAGTAAGACATTGCAATTTTAACTCTTTTTGGTTGTGGTGGGTGGGGCCTAGGGGGTTGATGTGGTGAATTCTCTTTCATGTCATAGTTCCGCCTTACTATCCTAGAAACAGTTTCAAGCATTCTTCGATATCAGCTTTTGTGCCTCAGATATAGCACATTGTAAGTTTTAAAATTGACACACTGTATATATTGAATGTTGGCACACATGCGAAGTTTTTTTCAGACGGAGTAGGTATAACTAAGTTTCTCACAATGCCTTTTTTAATTAATTTTTATAATTTAAATATCTTTCTAGGTTTTCTTATTATATTGCTTTAACTTACTTTTCAAAACAAATTCTGGATGGGGATCTGTCTCATATGAACGACAACTTCGAAAATCTAAATTTTCACAATTTTCTGAACAATTTGATCCAGACCTAAAATTATAAATAAAAATTTTGTTTTAAATAATTAAGCATTTCATGACCCTAGATAGATTATATTTATATATTACTACATGTCTAAAAAATGGGCAAAAACAGTAAAGGAAAGTCGCCTAATATAAGGATACCGCCTAATATTGGATAGCTAATTATTTCAAAAACAAATGGAAATAGCAAGTGCCATCTATCCACAGACGGCTAGACTGTGATTGGAAAACTTAACGCAGAGTTTCGCTGTAGAACCTAAGATTGACCATCATTAGCATACTTGCAAATTTATTGAAACGCACATCCCTAATTTTTTGAGTTCACCTCGTTTTTAGTGCTGAAGATATTTCAAATAAGATAAGAAACGTTAAATTTTTTAATCAGTATGTATTGAATGATTTTTTAAATGTAATTTTGAAAACGCCAATAGTTATGTAGATTTTGTCATGAAATCTTTGTCTGTTTGGATCCTTTTACATTTCCTTTAATACCAGCCCATTCCGCCGAAGTTCCTGTCATTTAATTTTAGAACGAGCCATCAGTACTCGGACATCAAGACACTTAAGATGTCTATTAATAAGGCCTCGAGAAAATGAGATGATTGGTAATATGCCTACCTCCACACGCAACTTGTCAGATAAAACAACTTTTATAGGACCTTTAAAGACATATTTATTGCCGACAATCGAAAAACTGCTTATGAAATAATCTTGATAGAACTATATTCCTCGTACCAGATTGGTGGGTTTGTTTGAAAAAGCGTAGTTAAGGACATGCAATCAATGGACAATAATCGTTGCATGATTGTCAAGAAAATGGTGGAATTAATGCCAGTTGTTAGAGATTTGTTTCGTGTCCAAGATGGGTGCAATCTAGGAAAAGTTAGAAACTTCTCTCTTGTGGAATGACAGATCGTAACAACGAAACATAAAGATTCCAATAACTATTGAGAATCCCAAGCACAGTATCATTCTACAGGCGTTTCGGTTTAACCTTGTGGGAATAGACTATCAGGATTGATGAAATACAGCATTTTTTTTCTGGAAACCAACTGACTGAAAACCTTTGTCTGCTTTTAACCTGGTCCATCCAGAATTAAACGAAATTCTGGTGCAGCTGCTTCAATTAGTGGATCACCTCTATAAAAAAACGCTCCTGAATATAGCACCTATCGCCTAATAACTGCATGCGCTTGTTAACAAAGTGGTAACCTGTGACTCTAATTACATGCATGAAAGTTAAAGAAAAAGTGATAAAAAAAACATCAACGCTGATACCTCAATTTTACGTATAGGATCCCAAGTAAAAAATTAAAATCGAAAATAAAAAGGAAAACAGAAGTAGCTTCGTCAGATTCATCAGAGTCTGAGCAAGAAATACCGTTTGTTGTATTCTGAAGATGACATGAATTCAAGAAGAAAGGATGTGGAAGACAACTACACTAACCTACCTGCCTTGAATTTTTTCCTTCCGACAAAGCCTGGACAACAATGGATTCGCTTGCTGCAAATGCTACAGATGGTGTCATCAGAGCTTGTTGTGGAGCTGAAGGCCACATTATTTTCATTCGCGCATTTCATATGGATGATAAGTCACTAATACCTTGTATATTATTATTTTTGTATCGTATCGCTGCAATATATAATATCCATTTACTGAAACTAACATTGAATTTTTCATCACCAAAATAACAAATGATATTGTGTTATGTTGTACCTCGTATATGATATAAAGCTTTTTCTTAATATCGGATACCCTATCCAATTTTAGGCGACTATTAACTAACCACTCGCGCTGTCCTCTTTAAATTCGGTGCCAGTGTGCTGCGGGTGTACGTTTGTAATAACGAGTTACTATAGGCTCTCTCGACTACGTTGTATCCCTTTCGGGCCCCGACGCCTCAAGTGGTGGATTGTAAAGGGATGCCTCTAAGTTGGAAAGTAAGTTTCTCCTCAGGACATCTCACTCGCACTCACACAAAATCTCCCCGACCAGAAAGGCGGTGGCTTATCCAGGCAGTAATATCCAGGTTGGCGATAGCCGTCCGCACTTTCTGCCCAACTCACGTGCGAGCGATGCAGAACTGCCAGACGATGTTTGAGGTCTATTTAAGGACTTTCTCCCAGATATGTGACGTCTATGGTGGACTGAGGGTTAAAAACGTAGTATCAGTAGCTGAGCTAATCAATTTTGTCAATCTCCTTCTCATGATAGCCGGGACGTGCATGGCCATGGCCATGACGTTCAGACCACCCGCTTTAGTGAGAGCGTCGATGTAGGCATCGGAACACGTTCGATTGAGCGACAGAATCTTCCGATCGGCTATACGTACGGACCTGTCAACGCCCTTCAGCGTTTTCATCGTGATAGTTTCACCGTTTCAGTCCTCAGTCCTCTTTATTATCCATTCACCATAGGTTGAATAGAATTAGGCTTAGTATGCAGCCTTGCGTCACCCCCTGAGTGACCCCGAAACTAGCTCCTTCTTCTTCTTCTTGTGCCACTTTTATCGGCGACTGGAAATCATCAAGGCTATCCTGACCTTGTTTACAGCTGACCTAAAGAGTCCATTAGTGGTACAGCCAAACCACTCTCTGGTTTGGCTGTACTGTGCTTCTACGGCATGGAATCCGTTTTCCTTCTATTTTTTCTTGCATTATATTTTGAAGTAATGCGTATTTATGTCCTCTCATCAGGTGACCCAAATATTCGAGTTTTCTTTGTTTGATCGTTGACAACATTTCTAGCTCCAGAGGACCCAAAATACTTAAATACAAAATAGCTTTTTTGGCAGATTACAATATATTCATACATACACATATTATATTAGTTCTAACTTTCTGTTATAAAGAGAATTCGTAATTTTTCAAGTCGATATATTTGATTTGATACCGGATTTTTCTTTTACTAATAATAAAAGAACATCTAATATAGTTCTCAATTATTCTGACGATAGTTGCTGGGTATAAAAAGGTTTTTAAGATATCTGTATGTTAGAAAATATAATTCGTATCCATACTTGGTGTCTTACCGGAGTATGCTTGAAACTTTTAAACTTGTAACATTGGAACATAGACGAAAAATGCAAGCAATGCTATTTGTATATTATATTGTGAATAATTTAAAATATAAAGGCTTATTCTTGATTAACCATATAAAATTCTTGGTACCTAAGATTAACTTAAGGTTAAGTCATAGAGGGCTGTTCTTTTCTATTGTGAGACAGACTGCTCGCCCATTAACAACATGATGAGGCAGTGCAATATGATACTAAAAAAAAATAGCGACATAGATATCTTCAACACCAACATCAAAGCAATTAAATCTAGCTTTTTATCCGCTTTAATCATTTTATCTTAGCATGTAGGTATATCTAATGTCAAAATCCCTACTTGTAATTACATTTTTATTCTGTAAAATGTGTTTGTTGTGGAATAAATAAATAAATAAATAAATAACTAGTCTTACCATCCCTCCTCACAATAGCAGCGTCCACATCTATAGGTACCATGGCCACAAAATTTATTTCCTTCATCTTTATAGTTCGAACATTGACAACTACTGACATATTCCACATTAACTGTTAGTTTCTCGTTAATATTTTTTTCTTCCACGTATAAAGTTTCCTATAAATAAAAATTAATTTAAAGTGTGTCAAACCGATACAATCTAAATTACGTATTCGATCAGAAATGAGAAGGAAAAAGAAAGGTTTGGAGAGAAAACTAGTACGGAAAATCATATACAAGGGCGGTCTGATAAGTACTTAGCCTACAAAAAACGAAAATTTTGTTAAAGTTGCGATTTATTGATCTACATAGTCTTCTTTAGCTCGATAGACTCGATCCAGCGATGTTCTAACTTCTTTAAGTAGTTTGAAAAATACGTTTTCCCGAGGTCTACAAAGTAGGCCTCTTTGCTGGGGATGTACAGAATCACACAGGGGAAGCACAGGATCAAATATGGTGAATACTATGGATGGATGGGGCAGCAGTTCTTAGCCCAATTCGACCAACTTGACCATGGCGGAAATGTGAAGCAGAGCGGTGTCATGTTGAGTGAGTCCTTTTTTCTTCGCCAAATGAGGCAATTTTTAGCCGGCATAGTAGATGCTCTGTAACTATTTTACCATTGTCCATGTAGTTGATGCAAGGTCCGCGATGTGAGGATGTACATGAGTTAATTGAGGATCTGAGTGATGCATAGAGATTAGCTTGTGTAAGATCAAATGGGATGTATGAAAGAAAACAACCATACTGTTGGAACGAGCAGCTTGAAAATCTGAGCACAAACTGCATGCGAGTAAGAAGGGAGTGTAAGTGGTTAAGAATAGTACAACAGGAGATTTGAATAGAGAATAAATGAATTAAGCGAATGCAGAATGAATACAGGAATAAGATACGAAGATCTAAGAAAGAAAGGTGGAGTAACCTGCTTCAAGATTTCGAAAGGGATACTGGAGGCAGGGCTTCAAGATTGTTTGTACCGAATTGAGAGGGAAAAGACAATCCTACCCCCAGCCTAAGGAGAAACTCCGTTTAATACGGAAACTCTTTCCTCAGGTGGAGGAGAGGCGTGAAAGGGTTATTGGTTTCTTAGATGCGGAACCTTTTACTGAGTTGGAACTCGGCGAGACTGTTGGACGGATGAAGATCTGAAAAGCACCTGACATAGATGGAACTATGCCGTAGACAGTATGGCTCGCCGCACTAAAATACCCACAGGTTTTTTTGATATTGCTAAACAAACTGCTTGAACAACAGCACTTTCCAACAATGTTGAAAGAAGCTAAGGTTATCTTTAACCCAAAAGGTAGAGGTGAAGGGGAAGAGTTGCGATTTCGGCTAATTTGCCTTCTTAGTTCGATAGCTAAATTTGTATGAACAGCTTGCAAAAGGTCCTCCATAGATGCAGTCATGGAAGTAACCTCTTTAGTTACGCAGAATACAAAGAGATGGGTGGCTCATCCCTTTGTATCTCATCTCATCCTGCTTGATATCAAGAATACCTTTAATACGGCATCGTAGGAAAAAATCATGTTCAGGATGAGAGAATTGGGCGTTAGTAAGCACCTGGTCAACGTAATTGACAGATACTTTACTTAGAAGTCCATAAGAGAAAAAGATACCAGCATCATTTCAACATCATTCAACAACATTAGATATACGGACGACACTGTGATCTTAGCCGAAAATATTGAAGATCTTCAGAGACTGGTGACCAAAATAGCGGAGTCTGGAAAAGAGTATGGTCTAGCAATGAATGGAAAGAGGACGAAATTTATGAGAATATCGAAAACTCAAAGAAATAACGAGAATCTTATAATAAACGGAACCAACGTCGAACAGGTGGACAAATATACATATCTAGGAACAAAGATTAACTCCACAAATGATTACATTTAGGAGATCAAAATCAGAATAGAAAAGGAAATGAAAAAACTGGAATCATTCGAGCTGTGGGTGTATAGAAGAATTCTGAAAATATCGTGGACAGAACACGTCACAAACAAAGAGGTTCTGAGAAGGATGAATAAAGAAATAGACATTTTAAATACAATTAAAATAAGAAAATTGGAATATTACTTATTATTACTTATTAGACTGATTATGCAGGGAAAGATTCAAGGAAAGAGAAGCAAATGTCATAGCTGCGCAACCTAAGAGAGTGGTATGGATCTACATCAAATGAACTTTTCAGAGCAGCCGTCTCAAAAGTCCTAACAGCTATGATGATTGCCCACCTCCACCGCGTAGATGGCACTTGAAGAAGAAGAAGAGGGGCATCGAAGAAATTGGAATCGTAAACTGAAGGAAAGTGACGAACCGAAGAAACAGAACAGACTAACCATAAAGAAATTTGGTGCTGATTATTTAAAACCATATCTATGTAAGTATTAGTAAATATTCATAGTGTAACTCACCCGTTGATGTTCTGGTATATATTTAGCAGTTAATTCTACTTTAAATTTAATTGCACGATTCCCCAGTCCATAACAAACTGAGGTTTCGTTAAATATTCCATGATTTTCGCAATCAGCAAAAAACTTAACGTCAAGATACTCTTGCTCTGTTGTGTTCATCATAAAGCTTACTGTCTGTGCAAAATTATAGTAACCTAAAAATAAATCCATTTAATAAATTGCAACATACCATGTAGTGTTACTGTTGCAGATAGTCAGAATAATTAAAGATCTAATCAGAGATGGCATTTAAACACTTCTGCTTTTTATTCTGAAATAAAAAAAATCAAGAATATTAAATCGTTTTTCTGGTTGTGTGTTATTAATCCTTCACGTTATACTTTTCATCTTGCCATCTTAATTGTTTTGCAACTAGCTCTTTATTTTACATTTATATAGAAGTACAATTGGTAAATAATTCCTTTATCGAAAAACACTTTTCATCATGGTGGCTCGATAATCCATTGTGGATCTTGGCCTGCTCACAAAGACATCGCCGCTCCTGTCGATTCCTGGCAACTTCCCTCCGTCTTCTGACCCTTAGAATCAGTAAGTCTTCTTCCACATCATCAATCCATCTTCCTCGTGGTCGTCATCTACTTCTTGTGCCCTCTGGTTTTGAAAATATTAATCTCTTGGTGTATTCGTGATCTGACATCCTAGCAATGTGTCCAGTTCATCTAAGTCTCTGCACTTTAACGAATTTTACAATATCTGGATCAATGTATACCTGATTTAGTTTAAAGTTGTATCTTCGACGCCATAGCCCTTTTTTATTTACGGCCCCAAAAATCTTTCTAACAACTTTGCTCTCAAAAATACCAAGAAGTCTGTCATCATTTTGAGATAAGGTCCACGTTTCAGCCCTATATATCAAAACCGCTCTTATTAAGGTCATGTATATATTGAGCTTATACTGCACGTTTTATATTTTTATTTTTTAATGTTTCTGGAGACCGTAAACAGTTCTGTGTGCTATTGCTATGCGTCTTTTTATTTCGTCACTGGTCGTGTTTGTTGCATTTACTAGCGATGTAAGAGATGTGAATTCTTTGACTTGCTCAAAGGTATGGTTGTTAATTTGAATTCTCTGTTGGATAATTCGTTTTTAGAAACCAACATATATTTGGTTTTTTCTTGTTTACCACAAGTCCTCATTCACTTGTTGCGTCCGCAAGCCTTGTAAAATTGACTGCTAAAAGAGACTGCACTATGTCTCTCATACTTCTACACAGTATAACTATATCTTCAGCGAATGCGAGAATTTGCGCTCGATCTATTAAAAATAGTTTCATTTAATCTAATATTTAATTGTCTGATTGACTTTTCCAAAGCAATATTAAAGAGGAGACACGCAAGTACGTCCGCCTGTCTTAGACCATTATTATTGTCAATTTCAATTCATTTAATTCCTTCAATTTTAGCGGATAAGCTTAAGCTTTGCATTGTTAGTTGGGTCAACTTAACTAACTTAGTTGAGATTCCAAAGTGTATCATTGCATTATATAATGCAGTTCTATTCACACTGTCATAGGCTGCTTTGAAGTCGACGAAGAAATGGTGTGTATCTATGTTATATTCTAGCGACTTTTCCAGAATCTGCCTATGTGCTTGAATTTGCTGTGCAGTTGACTTTCCCGCAGTAAATCCGCATTGATATTGACCAACAATATCCTGTGTAAAATGTTTAAGTCTTTCAAACAATACATTGCTGAAGATTTTATACGCAGATGCTAATAGAGTAATGTCTCTATAGTTCTTACACTCCAGTTGATCACCCTTTTTATGCAACGGACATATTATTCCTTTACCACTATATTGGTACCAATTCATTCTGCCATATAAATACTATTAGTTTATGGATTGCCGAAAAAAGGTTATCACCACCTTTTTTTTTATACATTTGGCATTTGACACTTCTTGTTTTGTTGGGTCTCACTGTGTCGTTGACGTTGGAGATTTTGTTGATTGTCTATGTTGTAACTTCCTTCAATATCGTTTATATTTAGATGTCCGCTGAAATGTTGTGTCTATCTGCTAGAGTTTTTATCATGTAGAATTTTCTCCGTTAGGTTAGTGTCTTTACAAATTTTTAATCGTAGTTTAAATTCTCGACGGCTATTAGTTAAGGATAATCAAATCGATTTATCGAATAAACTTGTATTTCATTAAGAGTGTTATTTTTGTATTCCCTCTTCTTCCGTCGATAGATACATTCTTTCTCTCTTCTAAGACGTTTATACATGTTTTCTTTCTTCCGTGTACAACCTGCGTCGGTTTTTTGATATGCTACGTTCTTTCTATTTGTGGTCATTTTGCACTCATGATCAAACTAATGGTTCCTTATTTTCCTGACTTGGTTTTGCCCAATATTTCAACCGATTCCTGTAACACAATATCTCGTATATTTGCCCATAATTGGTTAATGTCTTCTTCTTCTTTTAAGTTTTCTATCCTTATTTGATCTTCTGTTTGCTGTCTGTATATATTGAATCTACGACAATAGGACGCGGAAAACAGGACGCAAGACCAAAGGACGCGGAAAAAAGGACGCGCGAAAAAAGGACGCGCGAAAAAAGGACGCGTGAAAAAAAGGACGCCTATTATTAATGATTTACTATAAATAGTGTATTTTAATTGACATTAGCCATTACCCCCTTTTTATCCCCATATGTTATTACAGAAAATGATTCTACCTAACCTAAAATCGGTTACGGTAAGAGTAAAAAGTGAAAAATAATTATATGAAAAAAACTTGCCCTCACATTTTATCGAGGCTTAGGACTAAAATATCTTAAGTAAAATAATAAATACTAATATAATGTTAAACACGCCAGCTTCTGCTGCCAGTCCTAAGCCTGGATAAAGTGTGAAAGTAAGTTTTTTTCATATAAATATTTTTCACGTTTTACTTTTACCGTAACCGATTTTAGGTTAGGTAGAATCATTTTTGTAATTATATATAGGGGATAAACGGGGATAATTCCTATTGTCAATTAAAATAAACTATTTATAGTATTTCATTAATAGTATGCGTCTTTTTTTCCACGCGTCCTTTTTTCCACGCGTCCTTTTTTCGCGCGTCCTTTTTTCCGCGTCCTATTTTATGCGTCCTTTTTTCCGCGTCCTTTTGTCGGTATACACCGTATATATTTGCAATGTCGGGATCTTTTAGTTTATTAATGCCGATTTTTATCTCCTTTTCCCGATCTCCTTTTTTTTTAATGGATATTCTCTCTTTAAATCGTGCTTTAACTAAATAGTGTTCACTATCTATGTTTGCTTCTCTAAAAGACCTAACATCTAATAAGTTAGAGCAGTGTTTTTGTATCGATGATTATATGATCTATTTGGTTAATCGTTTCATTATCAGCAGATTTCCAAGTCCCCTTATGTATATCTTAATAGGGAAATTCTGACCCAGCTATTACCATGTTCTTAGACATCGCAAAGTTTATGATTCTGAGACCGTTATCATTGGAATCTACGTGTAGGCTCTCTTTTCCGATGACGAGCGAAAATATATTCTCTTCCAAAGTTGGCATTAAAGTCTCCACCCGTGAAAATCACTTTTACTTTAGCTTAAAGTGGGATGGTTCTCTATCAACCATATCCTTAAAACACTTCAAGAGAGAGAGAGAGAGACCTTCAGCTTTATCACACCTCTTAAAAGTAATTAAACACCAACTTAAGATTGCTAAATGTGTCAGTTTAATACATAATATACAACAAAAAAAATAAATATTACGACTAGATTTATACAAAGATTTGAATATAATCAAAAACATAAAGAATGGAAGAATTGTGTTAACAGACTTCTTTAAGCATATTTTCGTCCCCATTCACCAATAGTTGTTTTCTTAATTCCATACATTTCCACTAAGGAAATTTTACATCAATATTCATTCTTTATCTTCCTTTACATTTCCACACATGTTTATCAATAACTTCTTGATCCTTCCACTTATTCTAATTTTCATTATTGGTCTTTGCTACATTAACTATAATTAACTACTCAACTCCTATTAACTTCAGCCTGACTAACTTTATCCATTCATTTTCTCCCTCTACAATAATTATCTATTTCTTTTCCCAATGCCCTAAATATTAAATATAACTCAATACAATTCTTGTCATATATTACACACATCGAATGTCAAATCACTTCCCTATTTCAAATTTTTTATGTTCATTTACTAATTTCATTTTAGAACATTTTACAATCTCTCGTCTTTGATTATTTGTATTTTAAAAAATCTTTTTCATTAAGTACATACTCATGACATTTTCAATTAAATCAGACATTTTCATTTTTATTCAGATCAGACATCTTGGGAGAACTTCTTCTCCCAATTCCTCGCTTTCCGAATACTTCTCCTTGAAGGATTATTTTCAGTAATCTGTATTTAGTGCCATTTTCTCATTCTATGTCCGAGATATTCTAACTTTCTCCTTTTAATCGTATACATCACTTCTCTTTCGTTCCCCATTCTTCGTAGTACAGTCTTGTTGGTTATCTAGTCCGTAATATCCTTAGGATTCTTTTGTATAGCAACATCTCGAAGCCTTTAAGTTTTTTCTCAATCGCTTCAGTGAGTGTCCAGATGTCATCTCTGTAGTATAATATCGAGAAGATATAACATCGTAGGAGCCTTACTTTTATTTCCAGATTAAGGTTGTGGCTTTTAAAGAGTTTGCTCATGTTGTTGAATGCACTCCTAGCCTTCTCTATTCTACATTTTACTACTTGTGAGTGATCCCACTATCCATTGATTATTGTTTTAAGATAAGTAAACCGTTTTATTTGGTCCACTGGTATATTCTTGATAAGCAGTTGGACGGACCTAATTTTAGTTTTGCTGATGACTATAAATTTAGTTTTTGATATGTTTACTTGTAGTCCAAATCTTTCATTTACTTTACTTACTTTGTTTATTAGTTGCTGTAAACTGCTTAAACTGTCTGCAAAATAATGGTGTCATCTGCATAGCGGATGTTGTTTATGCGTTCTCCATTTAAAAGGATTTCATGTTCGCAATTTTCCAAGGTTTCACTAAATATTTCCTCTGAATATAAGTTGAATTAGAGACGTATTTTAAGAATTTCATGGGTGGATCGTGTGACTAATGTTGAGGTCCTACGTAGAATAGGCAAGGAATGCGAGATTATTAACACCATCAAAGAGCGCAAACTAGAATATCTTGGCCATGTTATGAGGAATGAACAGAGATACGGCTTGGTGCAACTCATTCTTCAGGGCAAGGTATTTGGAAAGAGAGGACCAGGGAGAAGAAGAATATCTTGGCTTCAAAACCTGAAAAAGTGGTTTAATACATCGACAACCGGACTATTCAGAATAGCAGCAAGCAAAGTTAGGATAGCCATGTTGATCGCCAACATCCGGAACGGATAGGCACCGTAAGAAGAAGAAGATAAGTTGAATATTATAGGTGAAACTATACATCCTTGTCTAACGCCTCGCAGAATCTGGATCGCTTCTCTCGGTTCATCTCCAAGATTTGTTCTTATTGTGGCTGATTGGTTTCAGCATAAATTTTGTATTTTACGCCGTTCTTTATCATATATTTGGGCTTTTGTTAGAATATCCATTATTTTTCGATGTTGCACTGTGTCAATGCTTTCTGGTAGTCCACAAAGCAGGTGTAGATATCGCAAGTTATACCTATGCCTCTTTGGAATAATACCTGTAGACTAAACAGTGCATGTCCCGTACCTACGCCTTTCATGAATCCAAAGTGTGTTTTAGTTCATTTTGCAATAATTTTTTTGTTTATTAACCGAATTTTATTAAGCATATCTCATTTTGGGAATTTTTTTAAATGGTCTCGTGACATCAAATTTCAAAATAGACAGACAGATAAGTTTTTAAGTAATGAGCAAAATAATGATTTTAAACGTTTTGATTTTGTTTATTTAACCATATTTCCATTAAAAAATTGACTAATGCCTAGATGAGAGTCTTTTTGTAATATCTCATACTAAGAATTTCAACTGTTGAAACCCATCTATTATAAAGTTATGACAAAAAAATTCTTATTTTTTACCAACTTGATTGATCTAAACTACATGTCTACTCACTATTTGTAAATCTAATTCAATTCGACGCTATCAGATGTCTGTTCGTGCAAATTCTGTACATCTTGACATACATTTAATTACGTTCAGAGGACATAATTGTGCAATTTTTATTATTCTACTTCCTCTACGATGATGTCTTATCCATGCCTTGATTAATCTTCAACCTGCTTATCTTAAATTTAATGTAGTCGGTTTCGTATACCAAGGGAAACCTATGTATACCAAGAGAGACAGAAAATGACACGATTTTAAGAAGAAACTATCGGATCAGGCCTTAATAATAAATACCTTTTGTAATTAGGTCCACGATATTTGTTGCATCTTCCTGTAATTCACCAACAAATGCATATCCTTTTAAAGTACTGCTTGTCATATTCAAATAGTAATACATTTTGGAAAGTGTCTTAACGGCAAAAATTATATTGACCTGAAAATGTAAAACATTCAGTTAATTTAAAATAAATAAAATATAATAATACAAACAATAACTGCTATTATCAGGTGACAAACCTCGGTCAAGAAACGATCGAGTATTGACAAAATCTATATACCGAATTTTGCAGGGAGTACCCAGAAATTCAAGTGTCTGAACAACGAGTTGCAGATCAATCCTAGGTAATTATAAGAAACAATCTTATCTCAGAAACTAGACGCAATACCATCAGAAGCGAAGTCGAACGGTAGAATAACAATCAAGAAGTAACTGTGGATCAAGTCCCTAATAAAATACATAAGCAGATTCCTGAGCTTGTCATACAAGAAACTCAACCTGATAATATACCACTAGAGGACAACGAGTTACGCAATATTCTGGTTAGCGAAATGGCACGTGTTGTACAAGAGTTTAGCAGACCATCACTATAAAAAAACTCTTAAGAAACTAGGTGCGCTGAATCTCATACGCTGGAATATTTGCACATGCTTATAGCATCTGCAAATAGCACTAGCAGCACTAGCAACAGCTAACGTAATGGAAATCAAGATCAGAACAAGACGAGCCACCAATGTCGAAAGGTCAAATACCAGAGTTGCATCCAGGGAAAAACGGCTTCTAAACAAGATTGGTTTAATGCGTAGGGGTATTGGTTAAATTACAGAATATATATGAGTGATAATAAGTAGAAAAGTCATCAGAAAAATTAAAGAAGTAATGCTGAGCACTGCAAGACACTCGCAATATGATCCAGAAATTAACAGAGCCCAACAGTGCCAGGATACAATAAAACAAAAACTCTCCATTTATTAAGGACGGCTAAGGAGGTACAAAGTCAGTAACAGCCGAAAATGCCACAATGCGCTTTTTGAGCATACCCAGAAGTCGTTCTATCGGAAACTTACTTTCACTATAGAAACTGCCAATAAAAAAGGCCAGGGAACAATTCATTTATTATCGAAAGACCAAAAAGACGGAGTAATATTAATTAATCATGTTATTTCTAATCCGCAGGAAATACCATAATTTCTAACTCAGGAAACAACTTATTCAATACCGAAGGATCAAAATAATACCCAAGTACCGCTCAATTACGTATCTTTCAAATTTGGATAAATTGGTCACATTCTGTGTAGCCCAGCGTATCTACCAACACTGCGCTCTAAACAATATCATAGAACCTAAACGGAAAGGATGCGCTAAGGGTTCCATATGCTGCAAAGAACAACTTCAAATAAGATTGGTTTATAGGTGAAAAATTATCATGGTATTATCAATCTTATTTGGAAACGTTCATGCTAGCTTAATATTCGAACCAGCGGAATTAATAAAAATTATTTTTAAAATACCACAGTATTCTAAATTCTGTTAGTTTGAACATTAAGCCATCAGAATCGCTCCCATTAAGGGTGGTTTGGTGGTGAAAAATTATTAGGGTGGTAATAAATTAGTGAAAAAATATGCCATAAGCAAACAGTCTTTTTCCGAATTCTGCTGGCTTGAACATTAAGCCAGCAGAATTGCTCCCATTAAGGGGGGTTTGGTGGTGAAAAAATTATTATGGTGGTAATAAATTAGTGAAAAATGGGTGAAAAAATATACCATGACCAAAAAGTTTTATTTTTCGAATTCTGCTAGCTTGAACCTTAATCCAGCAGAATCGCTCCCTTAAGGTTGGTTTGGTAGTAAAAAATTATTAGGGTGGTAATAAATTAGTGAAAAATTGGTGAAAAAATATTATGTAGGTTAAATTGGATTCCGCTCATTTGTCCCCGCTAGCTTAAGAGTCCTCTAATTAATCGTCCTGACAAGTTCAAAATATAACCTAAGGGAACTAAGTACGCCATACAACAATACTTGTTTGTTAAAGTATATCCTATAAAAACTATAGTAAGTTAAAAACCGGTATCATATAATGAAAAAACGAATTACTTTATTTTTCCGTAAGGCAAATTCAATTTGATCTAGTGCGGGGTAATCATTGATTAAAGATTTAGTATATTCTCCATTTTTGTCCAATAAACATTTTAAATCTGGTTTTCTAACAGCTCCTGCTAAGATTCCATCGCCAGCTGAATGAAGTAAACTATCTGTTGGTAACAAAATAATTTTTCTGGACAAAGGCGAAAAGTTAATTGTTTCATTACATGCCAGAACCTGAAGCAGTGCGTCTAGAGCTCCATCTAAATCGTCGACGTTTGCAGTAACTCTGCTCGAACTAACCTAAAAATATTAATCCATTAATAAGTTTCACATATTTAAAATTGTTGTATAATATACTCGAGAAGTAGTTCGTAATAAAAATGCTTACTACTATTCGTTCCAAGATAATTCGGATGGAATTCCCCAGATTAAGTTACTGGACCGATATCATGCACAAAAAAGCTGTACTCCCTTAATACTGTAACGAATAGTCACTAAGTATTTCGTTACATTAGGATTAATTTTAAATTTTATCCTAAGTTTAAAGGCACTTTACTAAATGATAGAAAGTAGGTGTAGCAAGGTACGTATTTTAATTTTAAGTTGTTAACGATTGGTAAATTAAATTTTAAGCATAATTTTATATACGTGTTTAAATTTAATCAGTTAATTGCATTTGTAGTTGCAATTCAGAATTACAAATTTCTAGGTACGTAATGCCAGTCTTTATAAGAGATTAAAAAATTTCTTAGGATTTTATTTAGGTAAAATTATCACTAAATGGGCTTTGAGAAGAAAGTTTATTTGAAAAGGATTTCATACATTCCTGCCACTATTTCAAGAAGTGAAGACGAGTCTGAACCTGAATGACGTTCTGGTTATATTCATATCACATACGAAGCAAATCGTTCTTAACCTTGACAATGGTAAGTACTCGTTAAAAATACTATAGGTAAATTCACATTCAGATGGCAGCGTTACAGAGATAGGCCTGTACTTTCTATATGCCAGAAATAACTACATTGTTGTCAGTTTTTAATCCTACCTACAATCGTACGTTATGGGCCGGCTCCTATAAAAGAATTATAATTTCGGAAATATTTATGAATGTGAAACGGAAAAATACTACATTTTTTTAATTATATAATTTTTCTGTTGGTATTTTAAAAATAGAAAGTTATATTTCGGAAATCTGGTCTTTTCGGAAATATATCTTCTGTTCAAAATTGTTTACAATTCGTGGAAATGAAATAATTATTTGTATAACCCGTTTTTGATCTTAATGTCCTTTTAATGACTCATTTTCTCTACCTGAATTTACAGTTACAGACATTAAAAAATAATTTAGAATTAAAAAAATATACCTATTTATAAATTCAAAATTATTGTCTAATGCCAGCAATTATAAATTCAGGTAAATACTTGAGAGTCATTAAAAGAATTTTCAGTTGATATCAGACGTTTGTGTCGTGTCAGTGTCAAAATGGCCGCGAGTGTAATAAAATTCAAAAACGGTAATTTGTTAAATAGTAAATGCAAAAAAATAGTGTTAAATGTTTTTAACTATTTATCAAACAGTAATAATGATAAAAGTGTATTAACAATAGTGCGGGAAGTTTCTGCTATGACTGGAGTCTCTGAGCGAACGATATTCCGATATAGAAGTGAAAGTAAAAATGGTCCACTCGTAACTCCTATAAGAAAAAAAAAAGAACCGGTTATTTGAATATCTTATCACTCTAGGAAATTAAATTTTCTCAAACAATATTAGGTGAAACGTCAAATTAAGGAGTGGCTCTATGAAAATGACATTTATTTTGAAGAAGATTACTTAAAAAATGAACTTCTGGAAACTGCTGATGTATTTAAAAATATTTATCTATTCTAATGTATTGTTACATTAGAATAGATAATAGATGTACATATCTTAAGACTTCCGCCTTATCACTGTGAACTGAACACAATAGAAATGGTGTGGAGTGAAGTGAAACGGTACGTGTCCTCTAAGAATTCAAGTTTGAAACAAAACGACGTTAAAACATTGATTTATGAAGGTTATGATAAAGTACAGAACAATGGACATTGGAAAAATTACGTCAACCATGTTATAAAATTGTAGAATAATTTTTGGACAGTAGACAACATTCAAGATGACAAGAGATGTTAATACCGAATCTCCCAAAAAATAAAAAGAATGTCATTATCTTGGACAATGCATCTTATCACTCTAGGAAATTAAATTTTCCCAAACAATATTGGGTGAAACGTCAAATTAAGGAGTGGCTCTATGAAAAGGACATTTATTTTGAAGAAGATTACTTAAAAAATGAACTTCTGGAAACTGCTAATGTATTTAAAAATATTTATGACAAATACAAAATTGATTGTATTGGTGAAAAATACAGGAATCACAGTGACGAACAATGCCGCGTAGATGTACATATCTTAAGACTTCCGCCTTATCACTGTGAACTGAACCCAATAGAAATGGTGTGGAGTGAAGTGAAACGGTACGTGTCCTTTAAGAATTCAAGTTTGAAACAAAACGACGTTAAAACATTGATTTATGAAGGTTATGATAAAGTACAGAACAATGGACATTGGAAAAATTACGTCAACCATGTTATAAAATTGGAGAATAATTTTTGGACAGTAGACAACATTCAAGATGACATTGAACCTATTAGAATTTCATTAAACGATGACTCTGAAGATGAACTAGATTATGAAAATGAAGATGATTGAAAATTGTTTTCCCTATTAACTGCGGTATTATGTATAAAAGTATTTTTGGAATTATTACCATTTATTTAATTCACGAATTTTCTATTAACCTAGAGCTTACCTAACTTTAGCTTACCTAAACATATCTTAGTTTACCGTGAGTTTGGCCCTGCTTATTTTTCAAAAGTAGCAAAACTTACAATGGCAGTAGAATTGGCAACGCTGTTATCCTATATCCGTACACTGCCATCTGAACGTGACTTTATCTATAGTTAATTAATCTTCCTAATACCGGGTGAATTTTAAAACCATCAGTACCAGGTGAGGCTACTTCTCACCCCAGTAGCTTTGTTCACTTTTAAGTTCAATGATTCTATGTACCTCTTTAATCTAACCATTTTTTTAACTCTTTATTGTCTGTATACTTTGTTTAGTACTAATTCAACAAATTAAAAATCAAAGACCGAAAACAGTCACCTTCAGAAACTCACCAAATAAACAGGTTGTTTTAGCAGTTATCAGATAGCAGACATACTTAGGGCTAATTGCACTTTACAAATTCTTAGAGAGACAATCCCAACTAGAAAGTGATACTTCAAAGAATCTAGACAAAATATGCTAATAGGGGAGTTATAAAAGTTCCCACTGTGTAATAGCAAGAATGGAATTTTAAAGATAAAGGAAACACATTACAATAAATTGCTAATATGTAAAGAATGCGACTGCACATTATTGCAAGTAATTTTGTTAATACATCAACTACCAATATCCTAAACTGTCAAAGCGATTGATTAAACTTAATTACAGATATTAATAAAAAATTAATTCATAAAAAACACAGAATTATGAGCAGAATTTCTTAAAAAGCAAAATTACATATTTTTTTTGGTCTTCTTTCAACGATGTACGAACGACTGTCCACTGTGTACGAACTTATAAAAGACGGTCCACTGTTGCGAAAAAATGCGAGTAATACCGCATTTTCATTTATCAGCTATATGGGAAACAATATATCATATTATGTATTCAGTGAGTAACTTACCAACTTTAAATAAACTTTTAAGTGAATTAAGAAACAAAGAAATAATCCCCGAGTGTCATAAAACTACTGTTTGGAGGTTTTTAAAATCTAATAATAAACGGCAGGCAATTATGGAATCCAGCCGTTTAATAAAGTGAAGGTTCGATTATTTGTGAAGGTCTTTTAGGAGTGAAGGGAAGAACTTGTATTATTTGAATAAAACTTGGATTAACACCCACGATATAGTTAAAAAATGTTGGACCGATGGTAGTAAAAATTGCGTCACCAATGTTCCTCCCTCTAGAGGAAAGAGATTTTGTATTTTACATTGTGGGGGCGAATCAGGATGGGTAGAAGATGCTTTATTACTTTCTGCTAATAGTGTAAGTGATTGTAGCTTAGATTATCATGAAGATATGGACAGTACTTTGTAAAGTGGTTTGAGCAGCAATTACTACTTAAATTCAAAATAATTAGCGTTATTATTGTGGATAATGCTCCGTATTATTGTAGACTAAAAAGTAAAATTCCAAACACTAATTTAAACAAAGCTGAAATTTATCAATTTTTATCAAAACATGAAATATATTTTATGGATTCTTACACAAAAAAAAAAACAACTTGTAAAACTATTAAAATTAGTTAAATGTGAAAAAATTATGTTATCGACAGGCTAGCTGAGAATTATGGCCATAAAGTATTAAGAATACCTCCTTACTATTGTGTACTGAATCCAATAGAATTGTTGTGGTCTCAATTAAAGACTAGGTAATGTGAGGAAAAATAATAATTCTCCTAAATAATTTTCGACTGTTGTAGATTTAATTAAGACCGATGTAATAACATTACAGCAGATATTGGAAAAAATGTATAGGGCATATCAAAAAACTAGAAGAAAAATACGTACAGTTGCAAAACATTATAAATAGAGTAGTTATAGAATTCTTTGAACAACTACCGTACGAAATATCAAAAATAGGAACATCAAGAAAAATACTTATATTGGGAGACTTAAATGCAAGAATGGGCAAAAAAGTTAAAGATAAAATAGTTGGTCAGTTCGGAGAAGATACTAGAAATGACAATGGAGATAGGCTAATCACCATATGTGAACAAATCAATCTGAGAATACTTAACGGCTTTTTCCAACATCGAGAAATACATAAATTTACTTGGGTTCAACAAACAAGAAATTTGAAATCCATTATAGACGATGTGATTGCACGACAAAATACGCAGCTCAATATACAAGACGTAAGAGCATTTAGAGGAAGCACATGTGGAAGCGACCACTACCTAGTAAAGGCTAAAATAATGCTCATAGGACCAGATAAGAAAAAAGAACACAATGAACAAGAGCAAAAAACAATAGAAATCAATACAACTTGAATAGCCTCAACCATGAAAGCACAAAGGCACTGTACAAAAAGCGACTCAATGAAAAGCTCTTACAAGAAAGCTTTAATAGTGTTGAGCACCATTTCTTCTTAGAGTGCCGTCTCCCAACGGAGGTTGGCAATCATAATGGCTATTTTTATTTTAGAACTTGCTGCTCTAAACAAATCAATCGATCTGCATTGGTACCAATCACGTAGATTCTTTAACCATGAGTTCTGCCTTCGGCCAACAGATCTTCCTCGAATCTTTCCCTGTATTATCAGTCTCAAAATTTCATATTTTGGTCCCCTCATCACGTGGCCTAGGTATTCCAGTTTTCTGATTTGGATAGTGGTGATTAGTTCTGTTTCTTTACCAACTCTCTCCAGTACTTCTTTATTTGTAATTCTATCAGTCCATGATATTTTCAATAATCTGCGGTATAACCAGAGTTCGTAGGCCTCGATTCTTTTTAAATTACATTTTTTTAATGTCCAAGTCTCAGCTCCATATAATAATATTGAAAATATATAACAGCGAATGGTACGTAGTCTGATCTCCAAATTTAGATTTTTGCACGTTAGGAGTGGCTTCATTCGTATAAATGCTGTTCTGGCAATCTATATTCGCCTGTTTATTTCTACAGCATGATCATTGGTTTCATTGATCAAAGTTCCCAAATACTGATATTTTTCTACTTGTTCTATCACGTTACCATTTACTGTCAATAGGGATGTATATTTTGTGGCCTTTTTGTAATCAGCATGTACTTCGTTTTTTTAGCGTTTATAGTAATTCCCATCTCAGCACTATTTATACTCAAGCTTTCGATAAGATGTTGTAGATCCTCTATACTCGTTGTTATGATCACAGTGTCGTCTGCATTTCTTAAATTATTAATTAATTTTCCGTTAACGGTGACTCCCGCTTCGATATTATTGAGCGTGTTTTGGAAAATTTCTTCAGAAAATAAGTTAAACAAAAGTGGTGATAACACACATCCCTGTCTAACTCCTCTACATATCCTCATTTCTTCTGAGTGTTGCCCATCAATTTGAACTATGGCACTTTGGTTCCAATATAATGTTTGCACTATATTTATGATTTTACTGTCAATGCGCTTGTTCATAAGTATTGATATTAGTTTTTCATGAGCACCATTACAATTACATAAAAGAATGTCTCAAAAGTGCAGCAGAAAAAGCCTTGGGTAAATATGAAAAAACCGAACGAAGGAAGCCATATTAGTGGGAAGAAAAATAGAAGAAAAAATAAGGATTAAACGAGATAAATACCACAAACACTTAAATATAAAAACGGATCAAACTAAAGCCGAATATCGAACAGCCCAAAGAAACGTACGAGGTGCGATATCTAAGAAGAAAAACGAAAGCAGGGAAAGAAACTGCTCCAGAATAAACACTTACTTGGGGGGTAGTAGAAGCACCGAAATCTAGAAAATACTTCGATCTCTTCGACAAAATAGGACTAAAGACATTATCACACCGATCAGCTTAGATAAATGGGACGAATACTGGCGCAAAGCTACTGGCAGAAGAAAATGCAGAATATTTGCAAACACCACAAACACAATCAGAGGTGCAAGTACATACAATAGCTTCCCCAATTAGGATTGACGACAAAGAAGTAGCACGAGTATGCCAAACATTAAAGAATAGAAAATCACCAGGCCCTGGCAATATTCCACCTGAGCTACTCAAGTACGGTACAAGCAAATTATATAAACAGCTAGCCAGCCTTTTCCAAAAATGTATTAATGGAGAGAGTATACCGGAGGAGTGGAGGACATCGTATATTACGACAATACATAAAAAGGGAAGTAAATATGTATGTGACAATTATCGAGGAATCGCAGTCCGTAGCACGGTCTCAAGAGTTTTACGGGAAACTCATCAAAAAGAGAATGGAAGATGAATTCTGTGATATGGAGGCCGAAGAACAGGCCGACTTTAGAGCAGGCAGATCTACTATTGACCATCTGTTAACTCTTACCCAACTAATCAAAAAAAAGTAGCACGAACTCAACCAATACATCTCCTCTACGTGGACCTTAAAAAAGCTTATGATAGTGGTACCACAACAAAAACTCTGGGAAGCTCTCGAGAAAACAAATATTAGTGTAACCTTAATCAAGGCTGCTCAAGACCTCTATAACAACAACACAAGTAAAATAAAGAAAGACCAGGAGGTATCCAAGGGTTTCACTCTTAGCAAAGGACTCAAACAAGGATGCTGCTTGTCTCCTACTTTGTTCAAGATGTGGAAAAGAAAAATGCAGAAATATGGGAGTCCCTCTAAACGACGCAATATTGTACACACTGAGTTTTGCAGATGACCAGATAGTGATGGCCCAAGATTATGAAGACCTCGAATATATGACCCGTAAACTTATCGAAGAATACAAACTATGGGGCTAGAAGTAAATATCAAGAAAACTGAATACATGTGCATTGGGGAATTGAACAAAATCTAATCTTGGATGAAATACAGCGAGAAATAAATCACTGTAAAAAATACAAATATTTAGGCATGCAAATAATCAACGATGGCTAATTAGACGAAGAAATTAAACATAGAAATAACCAAGGAAGACAAGCCATTAGACAATTAAACAGTGTAATAAGTGGGTAAAAAAATCTCCAAAGAAAACAAACACAAATTCTATAACAGCATTATAAAAAGCATCATTACATATGCAAGTGAGGTATGGCCACTGAAAGGAAAAAACTTAAAAGTATTAGAAGTAATAGAAATGGACTTCTCGAGAAGAGCGGCTGGAAAATCAAGATTAGACAGAGTTAGAAACGAAAGAATACGAGAAATTATGGGTGTTAAACACAATTTAACAGAGGACATCAGATCAACTAAGATGGTATGGACACGTCCAAAGAATGGATGAACACAGAATACCAAAGAAAGTATTGAACTGGACACCGCATGGAAGAAGAAAGCAAGGTAGACCCAGATTAAGTTGGAAAGAAGGAATCGAGAAAGACTTAAGGGAGAAGGGAGTTGAAGAAAACCTCTGGAACGACCGATATAAATGGAGAGTGAAAATTAGAAGATGGCGTAGAACGTAATAAACTGATAGATTTAAACGATAGCGATGATAGTGATACCGACTTAAATGTAGACGATAGTTAATTTTAAAATTATTTTTTTTTGTATTTTTCCACTATGTTAAATATATATTTAGATATAAAAGTATTACTTATATGTATTTTTCTTTTACATTTGTGCGATTGCCGTAATTTTGATAAAATGTATCAGTATATAAGTTAGACCCTGTATACAACTATACCTAGAAGATTAAATCCGAATTATCTTGCAACGAACAGTACACGCACTACTACATCTAAGAATACTTACTACATCTAAAAAGTCCTCAGTATTTGAAGTAAAGTTCAAGTGATGTCGAAATGAGTACCCAGGTTCGCAAGATTCTTCCATCGCTTTTTTACAGGGATCTCGGGCAGATTCTTCATCAGTATAATAAAAAGGCATAGCTGGTTTATCTCCAAAAGATCCAAAAGCAAGTTTGTAATGTTTTGTAAGTTTCGTCAAATTACTGGGTAAATGTTGACCTAGCGAGGCAAAAATTTTCATGCTTGGCTTCATAGACATACTGAGATCTCCTAGGTAATATAAGTCTAATGGATAGTTTTCCGCCAATTTGTAACTAAACGTGATATTTGTTGGAATACCTGTAAAATATAAAATCCATATAAATATGGAGCACGAAAGAAGTTGTAAGAAAAAAAGCATGCGTACACAACCTAACTTGTTCACATTTTTTGTTTTTCTTCTGACATTACGTTATGATATATGTCATAGAGCTATTTATCAGGAATTTAATTCAAATCTCAAGCAAAGTTATTTGAGATTACACCTTCTTTATTCTCAGTCTTCTCAATTTTACGTATTTTTTATAAGTTGTACAATATATTAGAATAGATAATTCTATTGATGCCATTGGTATGTAGTGAAATGGTTACTATCTGTCAAAACGAAATTATTCAAATTTTTTATTCTTATCAAATTATAAATTATTACAAAACGTTTCTGATCGAATTGGCAAATTAAATCGATCCGAACAAATCATTAAATTTTAAAGAGTAAAAACAATCATAAAAAAGAAGAAGTGATTTTAGGTGACTTCAACTCGAAGATAGGGAAAGAAAGAGATAGAGAAATAGTAGGAGAACACGGACTGGGACCACGTAAAGAAAGAGGTGAAAGACTAGTTCAGTTTTGCAAAGATAATGAACTCATTATCAAAAACACGTGGTATAAACTACCAAATCGAAGAATATATGTATACATGGACAGCACCTAGAGATGATGTTGAAATTATAATAAGAAACCAAATAGATTAGATAATAATAAATCAAAGATTCCAAAATGCCATATATAATCGGCTAAAGCGTACTCAGAAGCAGATATACCTAATAAGTGACCACAATCTAATTCTTGCAAACATGAAACCCAAGTTAAAAAAGTTAAAAACAACTGCCAAAACACTGAGAATCAATATGAGAAAACTAACAGAAACTGATATATACAAACAAATCAAAGAACAAGTGCACAAATGAAGCATGGGATAGAAGTACGGAAATAAAACGACGTATTGAGATAGCTAGAAGTGCTTTTAATAAGATCAAAGCAATATTATGCAATGGAAAATTCAACATTGAAATTAGAACTAGAGTATTGAGATGCTACGTGTTCTCTGTCCTGTTGTATGGAGTTGAGGCCTGGACAATTACAGAGGAGACAGAGAAAATACTCATTAACTTTGAAATATGGTGTTATCAAAGAATGTGTAAAATATCTTGGACACGACATATAACAAATGCGAAAACGCTACGAAGAATGAAAAAATATAAAGAAATACTCAACACTATAAAGAAAACAAAAATAAGCTACTTTGGCCACATACTAAGAAACGAGAAATACGAATTGATGCGGCTGGTCATATATGGAAAGATCGAAGACAAAAGAGAACCGGGGAGTAGACACACGTCCTGGTTGAAGAATCTGAGACAATGGAGTGAGAAAACTAGAACTTCTCAAAACGGCTACAGATAGACTCAAATGGGCCATGATGATCGCCAATGTCCTCATAGATGGGTCACGTTAAGAAGAAGAAAAAAAATCATATGTTTACACTTCGCTAACATACTGGGTTACAGGGTTTGTTACATTGTGCATAGAAAAAACAGAGTATGTGCGTACCTACCTATCTAGTCTAGTACGTCTAGGACGTCTAAGTCTAGGACGATAAGTCACACCTTTTCTTAAGTAAGGTAACTACGCCACCTAGGAAAGAAACCTGAACTATCAACATCTGACATTTCAATTAAATTTTGTTCTTGAAACGATACGTTTAATTAATTAACACTAATAATATTAATTACATTTTAATATAGTTAATAATACGATAAATTTTTCGCAAAATTGACAAAAATATTGGTTACAGTAGTTTTAAAATAGGGTTTAATAAACAAAATAATTTAAAGCTTTATGTTAGTTTAGATTTAAACACCTATCGCCACCTAGGAAAGAAATCTGAACTACCAACTGACAAATAAAATAAATTAAACAAATCTGACAGATAAATTGTAAAATATTTATTTGCCCGTAAAGTACCAAATGAAAAGATATCTGAAAAATAATTTGTGTTTATTGTAGTATGTTATTATGTTGTAGGTTATTGGGAAATCAAAAATATAACCTAAATACTCATTGCTGTTTATTGTTGGTGAGTATCAGAGGGTATGATCAGTAAGATGTTTAATGTTTATAAAATTAGTTAGAGAATATAATATTTGAGAGTGCATCTGCCATTTAAATTTTTGTAATGAAAAAGACTTTTTTTAAGAGGTTTTTAGATTAAGTAAACCGACAGTGATCTATTTTATGAGAAAATATTGTGAAAAGTGGTTAACAAGATTATAAAAGCGGAGTATACTTTTTTTTCTTGACTTAGTTTAAGCATTCAAGGTTTCATAATCTTAATTAAAAAAAAATGGTGTAATTAACGATTTTCAAGAGATATTAGAATTATGAAGAAACATCAGAAGGATCATTAATATTTTTTATTCGTTAATAAATTTTTCTTACAGAATTTAATGGATAAATTCCTGTAAGAAATGTATTTAAGTATTGCTACGCCACTGGTATAGCAATTAACTTACACGTTTTATATTGTACCTAGGTAAATTCTGATGAAAGCCGAAAATGTACCCAAAAGATATTGCTACCCACAGATTAACTTTATTTGACCAATTCCAAAAATTTACCTATTAGACAAGAATTCAAAAGGTGGAAAATCATAATTTTAAGTAGTATCAAATTGTATCCCAGCTAGCTGTCGCTGCTTGTTAGAGGTTTATATATATATATATATATATATATATTATATATATATATATATATATAGCGAGTGTTTGCAACTTTAATTTTGTCGCTTCTCGCATCCCAATCGCCATAATTTCTTATCGGCCAGTCTCCTTCTTGAAGACCTCTATTTTCCATTTCTATATGAATATTGGATATCCATTTCTTTCTTGGCCTTCCCCTTTTATTTCTCTGTGTAGGTCTCCAGTTCCAAACCTTTCGTGGTATCCTTTCTTCGTTCATCCGTCTTAGGTGTCCATACCATTTTAATTGTTTTTCGGCTATCGTATCCATTATTGTGTTCTTTACTTTCATTCTCTCTCTTATGTTTTCATTTCTTATGTGGTCAAACAAAGTTAACCCGGAACATCTTCTCCAGTACATCATTTCCGTTGAGAGGAGTTTTTGTGACATATTCTTGTTAAAGACCCACACTTCTGACCCATACGTCAGCACCGGCTGAATTATAGCCTGATATATATTTTTCTTTGTTTTCTTAGTTAAAGTTTTATTCCACAGGATCGTATGTAGTGTTTTTATCATGTTTTTTCCTTTTCCTATTTTTTCTTGTTATATCTTTGTCGTCTCTCCCGTCTTCGCTTATTGTAACTCCGAGATATTCGTACTGATCAACGTTTTTAATTAATCCGCTTTCTGTTTCCATGTCTTGGCCGATGCCTCCTATATTCATGTATTGTGTCTTTTCGGTATTAACCTCTAATCCCCATTTTTTGAATTCGTCTATTAGTTTGTTTATCATCTACGTCATATCTTGTAGGTCCTCGGCAAGAACTACCTGGTCGTCTGCGAAGAGGATTGTGTATATAGGAGTGTCATTTACCCATATGCAAATTTTGCTGCATTTTCTCATCCAATATTTTAAAGCATTACCAAGATATATTTTAAATAGGGTTGGGGAGAGGCAAGAGCCCTGTTTGACACCCTTTGTTTGGGTGAAACCCTTGGAAATTTGGTTTCCAACCTTAATATAAGCTTGGTTATCTTGATATAGCTTTTTCACGGCATTTATATATACTGCATTTATACCTGCGTTTTCCCATGTTGTCCATAGTCTCTGCAGTGGTACGGAGTCAAACGATTTACGGAGATCTATAAAAGTGGCATGAAGTTCTAGTCCTCTTGCTAATCTCTTTTCCGTTAGATGTTTGAGAGTAAATACATTGTCAACACAAGATCTCCCTGGTCGGAATCCACTTTGTTCTTCGATCTCTGTGGCTTCTTCTTCTATTCTGGCTTTCAGAACTCTTTCATACAGTTTGCCAGTGGATGACGTAATGCTGATACCTCGGTAATTACTACAGTTATTCCTGTTTCCCTTTTTATAGATGGAGTTTATGTACGAGACTTTCCAATCTCTTGGGATACTTTCTCCTTGTAGACACTTGTTAAACATTTTACAAAGCAATTCTAATATTATTGCAGTGGCATGTTTGAATAACTTGATAGGTAAATCACCCGGCCCAGGAGCTTTATTATTTTTCATTTTTTTTTTAGAGGTTTAACTCTCGCATATTAGTTTCGTATTCGATCAAAATCGACGCATTTCTGGTTTAAGCGTGTAGAATCTCACGTACAGTATAAAATAGTATCCCATAATATAATATGCTTCTTGTTTAGAGTTTTTACTCTCGCATATGAGTTATTGTTACATAGCTTATAGTTAAAGGCTGAATGCATTATTAATCAAGTATATTCATATTGAAGAAAACGTCCTTAGTTGAAGTGATAATTATTAGTAATATTTTAATCTGTATCAGTAATAGTTTAGTTGTAGTAACATTGAATAATTATTAAACTACGTATTGTTTGAACTGCTTGTGTTCTTATTTCCCACGCCAGTGGGTGGTCCTTCGATTTGGAAGTAATTACATGACTTAGTACGCTCTAAATGGTAGGAAGATCGCTATCCTAATTTTTTGGATAAATGTCCGTTTAATTCTACTATTTTTGTTAATTTTTGACAGTGATCTATTTTCTGAGAAAATATTGTATATTAGGCATTTAAGGTTTTCATAATCTTGATAATTAAAAAAATGGCGTAATTAACGATTTTCAAGAGATATTAGAATTATGAAGAAACCTTAAAAAGATCATTAATATGCATGTATTATTTTTTATTCATTATTAAATTTTTCTTACACAATTTAATTTATTATTGCCACCATGAATTGTATAATCAAAGGAGATATTAAAACAGGAGTGTGATTTCTTTGACAATTAATTAAATATTGGTGTGTTCCGAAATAAATACAATATTTATCTGGAGGTAAAAAGAAGTTTAATATTTAACATTTAAGTTTGTTGATCCTATAAAATTTTCTGCCAATTTGGTGATAAATATAAAATATAAAACAAAACTCGAGCTTAGCTTTCCCAATAAATGAAGTTCCAAAATAAAATTACGCTGGTTTTTAAAGGTAAATCCATGGACGTATAAACACAGATGGACTCAGTTATTTACATAAACATGTGAAGTCAAAATTATTTGAATATGTCACATTCTCAGCACCTCCAACTGTTTGCACGTTTTTTTATTAAAATTTCTTATTCGCGAGTCGCTGAAAATATTACTCCGTATTTTATACTCTACAGGTGCTATCAAACCAAAATAATAATTTATTGGTTATAATAATATATTTAATTGTAATCAAAATATCAAGTGTGCACATAGTGTGCATTATCATTTAAATAATAGCGTATAATAGATATGAATCAATTATTTTATATTTAGAAGCATTGAAAACTATTTATAAATGGCAACGGTTGTTTACATTTCTCTGTTTTACGGTTCTACGTCAAACTTCAAATGCTATTCCATGTTTGTTTACAACGATTGAGGAAATAAGGAAAAATTTGTTTTTAGATATTTTGGCTGGTATTTTGAGTGATATTTGTGAAAAGTGAAATAAAATAAACGAAATATTTACATCCCGGTCTCTCATTTCATTTGTAAGTACATACAATTTACATTATTTAAGATGAGGAAATGAAAAAGCGTGTTTGTTTACATTTTAATAGGCGTACCATTGGGTTTATTCATGTTCATTAATGTATTCAACAAGATATAATAAAATTGTATTTTAATTTTTCTATAAAGACGTGATTTGTTAATAGATAAATTCCTCGTTTTTTTTTAAATTCTTTGAACGTATTTTTATACATTATTACTACTTCCAATTTTAAAATCTGAATAATTACCCGAGAGTAAAAATTCAAGCACGCTTATACTCATTGCGGAAGCATCACATTCTATCGAAGCTTCAAAACATTGTGTGTTAAAGGTATCTTATTGCTGTGTCCATCTATGTTTATACGTCCATGGGTAAATATCAATTTCATAAGACGATTTTATTCATTCAGCAATTCTTCAAAAGTGACTTATTTGTTATGAAAGTTGTACAATAGATTAAAAGGTTGAGTTTACCGAAAGTACAAGCTGATTATAGCCGCAAATGTCAAACATGGAACAAAAAATTTCGGTTTGGCAGTGTTGGCTCGTTTTTATAATGTAGATGCTGGATGCTTTAAATATAAAAACATAAAGCTTTAGAAAATTATATTTTGTTCATATTGTGGTATGTAGTCTGCAATTTTTGGTTTATATAAAACAAGAATGAGTAAATATTTATTTCTTTGGAGATTAATTGCAGTTAATTATTAGAATTTTTTTGGATTACCCTGTGATAGATTAGGGGAAGATTTGGCAATCGTCAAATCAGCAGTTGTCAGATTGCAACAGATGTTTGCAATTAATCTCAAAAGAGACAAATATTGCAGAATTCATAAAATGGCATAATCAAAATGTACATTCCTTCTTTATATTTGAAGCATACAACATATGCATTATAAAAATATTCCAACACTGCCAAACTGAAATATTTTATTTCATGGTTGACATTTGTGGCTATATATTCAGCTTGTACTTTCGGTAAACTCAACCCGAAATTACTATAATCCTCCGTTGCATGGCGAATTTCGAATCCCAGGATGGGATTAGAACTCACGACCTGACAAGTGTTTTGCTCAGTAAGTTGAGTTATTATCGCTGCGCTACCGGGTAATAAATATGAAGTGAACTTACCTTTTTTAAGTTGGACTAGAACATTTTGAGGTTTGATTTGAATAATTTCGTCTTTTGTTGTAAATGGTTTGTTTATCTGTTTCATTACCCTACTCATTTGGTTAAATTCAATCATCGTTTCATTACAGTTTGATAATAATAATTGGTTTTTAGTGTTACATCGTCTTCCAGTATAACTCTACAAGATAATGCTGCAATTATAAATTATAAAATATTATGTAAACAAAATATATCATCATAATTCAAACACTACTTTTAATTTCCGTTGTTCTTATTTTGTCAGCGTGTTTCTCTAAATTCTCCACATTGCTGTATGGTATGGAGAGCTGGACCCTTACAGAGACATTAATGAAAAAATTGAAGGTGTTTAAAATTTGGATTTATCCAAAAGAAATTTACAGTGAAACTAGAATATTCATAATTTAATTAATTATTGGGTCTAAATATTGATATAAATTTCAGGAATCTATGGTTTTGATAGAAGACAAACTACAGGATACAAAGAAATACACAAAAATATAAAGAAAAATATTAGGGTAAGGTGGTCCAAAAGTACGCACTTGTCCAAGAGTGCGCACACCTGTTTTTATTAAAATATGTGTATTAGAAGTAGTAGTGACATCTATTCTATACGTATTCAATTTTTACCAGTAGAAATACAGACCCATATACAGATCCTCTACTGGCAAATTATCAAGATACATTTTTGTTTTGAGGCCATTGATAAATGGTAAAACTGTTGATAAGTAGGCTTTTACGCATATATGATACGCATTTTAAAGTTCGCAAGAATACGCAGTGCGTACTTTTGGGAACGGGAATTATTAAAGTACATTAAAGGGCGGTGTACCTATTGTTAAGATAAAAAATATGTGTATAATTTTAACCTAAAGAAATATCTATACTGCATTAACAGTTAGCATTGTTTTTTTTTTTAGAAAATGAGTGCTCACACCTACAAGAGAATGTCCCAGAGAAGCTGATTTTATCGAGCGGCACCAAGCCCTTGAAATGTGGCACGGTACCTACATCTTCCTAGTACCTAGGTAAAATCAAATGTGTTTTTTCTAATGATATGGAAATCCAGCTCCAGAACACTTAAGGCAACTTGATATACGGCTTTATGGATCGACCAGAAAATACCTTAAGCAGATTGCATTTGAATTCGCTGTCATGAATGGTATTGAACATCCTTTCAGTTCAACTACGAAAGCTGCCGGTGACAAGTGGGTTAGGAACTTTTTTTTCACGACAGAAATTAACGCTTCCACAATCCGAAAAATGTTCCATAGGAAGAATAATGGGTTTTAATAAACGTTAAATTAATAGATTTTTTTGACAACCTTAAATGCTTATATAAAGAGTTTAATTTTCCTTCCAGCCGTATTTAAAACATGGATGAATCTGGGATAAGTACAATTTTCTGGGACAAGTTTATCACAGATAAAGAAAAAAGAAGTGTTAGAAAAGCCGCAAGTCTAGAACGTGGTCAGTCAATCATGACAGTTTGTTCTTTTAACACCAATAGAGAATTCGTAACACCAGCATTAACTTCTAATTAGTTTTAGATTCAGGGTTCATAAACGCAGATTTGTTCTTTTAATTGATTCTACATTTTCTGCAAGCGGTGAGATCTAAACAAGAAACACTTGTGACTATTCCACCCCATACAAGTCACAGACCTCAACCGCTTGATAAAGGGTTTTGGACCTTTTAAGTCAGTCAATTTTGTGACAGCTAACTCGTCAGTCATCTTGGTAAAGTTATTAACCAAACTGGCGTAGCTGGTACGCTATAGACTATACGTCCATAAGCAACCTGAACAAGAAATATTGACGGTGGAAGCAGCAGAATCTGCCTCAAATAGAAAACGGAAAGGAGAATCTGTTAAAATATGATAGGAAGTTCGTGGAAGTAAAAAACTTTCTCTGGTAATGAATTAGAAGTGGTAAATTTTAAAATTTCCTTAAATATCAATAATGAAAAAAAAATAGTAGCTAAGTTAAAATTTAATCATTTTGGACACACATAATACATGTTCCTGATTCAACATTGATAACGATTAATGGTGCAGAAGACAATCAATCTAAAGAAGTTCCGGAAATATCAACTAACTTTTCTAATGACAATGTTGGGCCTTCACTTCTATTCGATCTCTACCCGAAATTAGGCTACTACCAAAAATGGAATGTTCTAAAGTTCTAAAAGAAGAGCTTAAAAATTAGAAATTGTAACCAGTACGCCCTTAAGGACACTCTTGAGATGTTCGAGGCAGAAGCTCAAAGAAAAAATTCTAACAAAAATAATTAAAAGGCAAATCGATGGAAACGGAAGTGAAAATGAAAATCAGAACACTGTAGTGAAGTTTAAATCTTAAAAAGTTGAAAAGAAAGGAAATCTGCTAAAATAAATATTGAGGATAAAGAAAATAAATTGGAATTGAATCAAATGTTAGAGGAATACATTTCTGCATATAATGAACAGTTTGTGGAACCACTAGATGAAGACTAGATCCAGTGCTTTCATAGTAAAGCCTTATGTCATGAACCGTCCATGTATTATGTAGTTGGTCAGTTCTGTTGTGATTTCTGTAATAATTAAAGATTTTAAATTTTATGTTTTTACTTTACTTTGATCATGAAAAACATGTATGTAACAGATAAGTCATTTTTCATTTATTTCAAGGTTTATTGCTCTGAGCACGTTGCACGAAATTAAGTCCTAACTGCTTATTTTATATTGTTCTGAAGCTATTTTCTTGTGGCATTGTAAATTAATTACTATTTATAACTGGGAATAAGCCACAATTAAAGATAAAAATACGTTTATTGACGTTTCAATTTCCAATTCGGAAATCGTTCTCAAAATACAAACAGTAAATTATTAGTATAATAAACAGTAGCTTATTTTATAATGAAAAAAATATGTTACGGCGTGCTCTTGGACCACTTTACCAAAAAGAAACAAAAAACTTGAAACAAGAAAAAAACTAAAAACGCAATAGAACAAAATAAAAATACGAAATATTTGAATCTATACCTAGAAATAACATAGATGAATAGTATAAACAACGAGTATAAAATAGAAGTACACAACATAAAATGTATCATAAAAATATCACAAAAATGTTACTTAATTAGAAATAGATTATAGAATCCCTATGATTCCAAACAAAAGTAATAAATAGCAGTTCAGAAACAGAAAATTCTTCAAACCCAGACTGGATTGGGCAGCATTTGGAAAAACTCTCTAATATATTGAAAAATAAAAAATATCCCCAATACCTAAAAACGAAGGTTTTTGATCATTGTGTACTTCGTCTTCATGTTCTTATATACAACTGTTAACCTTGAACATTTACCAAGAATAATATAGAAAATATAACGAAAAAGGAAAGATCTATGAAAGATGCTAAAAATTAGGCTGTTAGATAGGACAAGAAACAGATGGATTTGTAGTAGAACCAAAGTAAAAGATATCTCGAGTAGCAAAATTTAAATGGAAATTTTCTGAGCATACTTTAAGACAGAAGGATGACCGATGGGACAAAATAATTATACATTGGACACCTTGGAATCATACCTAAACGTCGAAAAAGAAGACCACAACTTGGGTAGTCAGATGACATAAAACAACATGCTGGACCAAGATTAATGCAAATGGCGAAAGATAGAGAACTCTGGAAAAATGAGGGAAAGTCCTACGTTCAAATATGGATGATCTAGGCTGATTTGATTAATTTTGTTTTCTTTAATAATAATAGAGTATATTAAAAAAAAGTAAAACAATATAAATTTACATATTTTATACAATAAAATAAACCCAGTTTCTCAACAGAAGTTGTGTGTCACATGGACTACAACTTGTTCGTGAGGGTTGAATGTTTTTAACATATTCGCACAAATAACAATTATAAAAGTTAAGTAGTAACAGTCGATCGGATAGCCAAGCGGGCTGGGATGCTGGCTTTTCCTTCGCTTCAATGCGAGAGATGTCAGTTGAATCCCCATATCCCATATCCCCATATATCCCATATATCCCCATATAATCCCCAGTTCGGTGTACAGAAAACAAAAAGGCTAACGCAGCAGTTTAAAATTCTTAATGAATCTGCGGCTTAGTCTAGAATATGCTGCTGGTATCTGGTCGGCCTATGGTGGAGCAGTACTACGGCAAGAGATAAGAGCTTGCGGCTCGGTGATACTCCTCCATAGATCCCTACCGGAAGAGCGTGTGCCGCCTTAATACCGGATATATATATATATATATATATATATATATATATATATATATATATATATATATATATATATATATATATAATATATATATAATATATATATATAAAGTAGTAACATACAAACTGTTGACAAATTACAATTAGGAAAACATAAAATTAAAAAAAAACATTTATTTGAAATTAAAGCTCATTAATAGCTGTTCATTAATTCATGTAATTTATATCTATTACCATGGATCCATTGTTTTCATTTTTTTTTAATTTTTTATAGTTATTTTGATGATAGATGGTAAGAAATTAAACATTTTTGATCCCAAAAAATCAATGAAACGTTGGCCAATAATTTTCTATTTCTAGTTTGATATATATGGTGGGTACAATTCAGAAATGATTTCTCACTGTGTAAATATAATAACGATTTGTAGGAGTACAACTGGTTTAAATCCATGACTCTGTAAATAATTGGTCCACTGAAAATCTTATATTCTATATATTATTCTAATTATCAAATTTTGAATAACGTTTAGATTTTTAAGGTGAGCATTGTACCTAGGCTCCACTCCATCCAATAATCCCAGATTAATTGTGATTGTACCAAAGAATAGTATAAAATCTTCAAATGGTGAACATCTAAGATGTCGCGAAAATATTTGAATTTTGGGAGTAAACCTCTTATTTTTTGGACTATATATTTGATATATTGATCCCATTTTAGGTGTTGTTGTATCGTTGTCAATTTCAAGTTGGTTAAAGTTTGGTAACCCATTGGTGTTTGACGACAATGGCAAGTTTTTTAGTGGTTTACCAATTTGAGGTCTACAAAAGATGCAATTTACCAACTGAATCCTTTGTAGACCTTCTCTCTCTAAAGCCATATTGACTTTCAGATAATATAATTATGTTTCTTAAAAAAATTATTTAGACGAGATTTTATAATTTTTTCAATTACTTTACTGAGATTCGAAGTCAAGCTTATTGGTCTATAGTTTTCAAGTTCACTACGATTACCACTTTTAAAAAGCGGTTTAACGATACCTATTTTTAATACATTAGGAAATATACATAATCTGAAAACAGTTATTGATTATGTAAGTCAATGGTTTAGCAATTTGTTCTGCAACTTCTTTTAATAATTTTGATCTGAGGGTGTTTATACCTGGCGATTTCTTATTTTTTAGTGTATGTATAGTTTTAATGACTTCGTCTTCATTCGTTGGAGATAAATATATGCTATTTTTTTACATACTCAATATCTTCAACATAATTGAGAGATGTATCAATTTTCTCAGCATATTTTTTCCCCAAATCACTTAAATAGTTATTAAATAGATCTGCAATTTGTCCATGATCTGATATTAAATTATCATCTGGCTTTATCTGCTCAATTTCTGTTTTAACTTGTGTTCCACCACACAATTCTTTGACACATGTCCAAAGAGCCATTGAAGTGCAGGTATTTTTATCAATTAACTCAATAAAATATTTCTTTTTTCCTTTTGTTAATAATCTGCTGAGATAATTTTTGGATAACTTATATTCGTTACTGATATTCATGCCACTGGTATCTTTCTTAGATTTTTTATACAAATTATTTTTTTCCTCAATGGATTTTATTAATTCTAAACTGATCCAAGGCTTTTTATTTTTTGATTTTTTTTCGAATTTGTACTTCCTTAGTTGTTATGTCAATATTTCGTTGTAGTGTATTGATAAACTCCTCAGTTGTATTGTTTATGTTTGTGGAATTATAAACAGAGATCCAGTTTTCGCCTTTTAAATTTAGCTTTAATTGTATGTAATCAGTATATTTTTTGAACATTGTGTTCTTTTGTTTATTTGTGGGACTAACTGAAGAGTTGAAATTTTCTAATATTAATGCAATGGGACTATGATCAGTTATTTCGTAGTTAAAAATGTAAGAAATAAGTTTATGCTTACTTTTTTGTGAATTTTCAATAAAGAAATGATCAAGGCACGTTTTACTTTAACGTCTTGTGATTTGGTTTATATTATAATAATATACGATACATATTATGCATGTTAAGTAAGTTTTATACTCCGATACATAGTCATTATCAACTAATAAGTCGATATTAATATCTCCTTCAAAAATATTAATGTCCGACCTCTTTGTACGGCGTAAATAATTGTTAAGGTATGAATTAAATACCTTTGGACATGACTTGGTCATCTGTATGTAGAAACGATTTTAATATTTTCATTTTTTCCGTAAATGTTTAATTAGATAGGGAGATGGTTCTGACAGTCATCATGTTTTTGGAACACATAACTAATGCAGGTCATTAAGATCTTGAAACATCTAACATGAATCGTATTTATTTAAATTGATTTAACCAGTTATCTACAGAAGTAAAGTCTTAATATTTTGCGTTTTGTACACAAAAGGCAAAATCTTCTAAAGTACTTTAAAAGACATCTTCCAAAGCACTTTAAAGTTTATAAAATTGTTTGTTGCCATGACAACGCGGTGTCTATTAGTACGAATATCGGGGATCACCTTGTAGAATTTTATATTAACTTAATCTATAATGTGGTATGAGATAAGTGATATACGTACCTTATCATAACAATAGTTGCAGCAAATATGACTTTGTAAGCATGAGTCGCACCAATCTTGATCCACACATAATTTTTGTGTATTAATATCGTCACACTTTAGGTCAGTTTGCAACACACAAACTTTAATACAACTAAACAATAAAACTAAGGTAATTATATGATCTTCGAGACGCATGTCGACAGATTATGATACGTTATCTTGTTGAATATGTTGATATACCTAGAATTGCTTGTGTTAGTCTCCATTTATGATTGGCTTAAAGCCATATTTATTTTACGTATCATTATTTACAAAGTGTCAAATTTTGGGAATGTAATATAGGTTGTTCAATCATAAAACCAGTTAACATAAAAGGTGCAGGTACTATTTATTTCCAAGTTAAAGAGTCACATCAAAAATAAAGTGTTTACTATATCGCAGAAAATTTTACTACATTAATGAATATTTCAAATTGTCTTTTGTCAGTTGCTAAAAGTCGTTTCATATATAAACAATTTTCGACAGAAATTGGCATATTACAATAGAAATATGCTTTATTGTCACTGAAAATTGTACAATTTTATGGACAAAGCTTACAAAATAACAATTACATTTTACTGAAATTTCATAAATCGTCAATATCACAAGATTTATCAATAAAATAAACAATCCATTGCAAAATTTAAATAAATTGCAAAATGCATAATAAAACCTTAGAAATCATTAAGTTGAAGTTGTTGCATATGATACCCAAATATAGATAAAAATACTTTATTTACTTCTACAGGGTGGTCCAATGTAGCCGATCTCTCGGCTATATATCAGAAACTATTCATGTTATAACTTTAGGAGAAAAAATTCATTAGTAAAAGTGGCCAAGAGAAATCGCTGGAAATAACTTTCAAGTTTCTGGGTTAACCGTTAGGGGCGTAACCTGTGAAGAAAAATTTGAAAACCAGTTTTTTGTGAAATATGCAAAATTATACCAAGTGTTAAATAAGTAAACTAGAAAGAGGTCGGGACGCCCTCTTTGCATTAAATGTATTACTGCAGAAATGTCGAGATCAAAGGAAAGACGTCTTTGCTGTATTTATTGACTATGAAAAGGCCTTTGATCAAGTACAGCATCACAAATTAATTACAATATTAAAAGATAAAGGAGTTAATAGTCAAGACATACGATTCATAGAAAAGTTATACTGGCGTCAAACAGCGACAGCTTGCATAAACGGAAAATCAACAGAAATATGTAAAATACAAAGAGGTGTCAGACAGGGTTGTATACTATCCCCACTGTTATTTAATTTATATTCAGACAGAATATTTAAAGAAGCGCTGCATAATTTGGAATGGGGCGTGAAAGTTAATGGAATTCTGATAAAAACAATCAGATATGCAGACGATACAGTTATTTTAAGTGATGACGTGAATGGATTACAATGTCTTTTAAATGCCATTGATACAGTGGGAAGAGAGTTTGGCCTAAACATAAACTGTGCAAAAACAAAACACATGGTATTTAGCCGTTTAGCACATAAAGATGCACGATTATATGTTGATGGTCATATAATTTAAAGAGTGTCCAGTTTTAAATATCTTTGTTGCCATATTACTGAACAACTTGATCCAGATCAGGAGATAAAATGTAGAATCGAGATAGCCCGCACGACATTTTTAAAAATGAGGTCATTCTTCTGTAATGATAACTTGCAACTTCAACTTCGAAAGCGCATGGTTAAATGCTACATTTGGTCAGTCCTCTTATATGGTGTCGAAGCATGGACATTAAAAATATCCACCATTTATCGTCTGGAGGCCTTTGAAATGTGGCTGCACAGACGTATACTAAAAATTCCATGGACGGCTATGCTGACAAATGTGGCAGTCCTTGAAAGAGCAAATGCTGCTCGCGAGCTGCTTGATAATATCAAATGTAGAAAGGTGGTCTATTTTGGATACGTAGTAAGGGGAGCAACTATTTAGAATAGCTCGAGAGAGAGACAGTTTCGCCATGTTAATCGCCAACGTCAAGGGGACTTGATAGGGCACGTTAAGAAGAAGAAAGAGGCCAAAATTCCGCACAAAGCTGTTCAAGTACTTTTTTTATTTTTTGAAATAAAGGGTGGGGGAGAGTGGGAAAGTATTTGTGGATAAATACCTATAACTTTGGTTTGCATCAACCGATTTTAACGAAATTTGTGTTATTAGAAAGATTGTGGATGATTTAATTTACATCTACTATTCATCATTGATTCATTGAGAATGTATCTTTTGTATTAACATATCTTTTATTTCTATAGAATTATAATTAATAACTAAGTGAGTCAGTTTTAATTAGGTACTTGTTTATATTTTAGCAAGACTTAACTATTTTAGTCATATAAACTGTCTCAGTATATGGAACAATTTTCTTTGAAATATTTGTAATAAATTTCTTTCTATTGCTATTTATACATGACAAAGTATATAAATAAACCGTAATGTTATCTTATCTATATGAATTTTTAAGAATTTAGATAAATATTTTGCACAAAAATTGTCTAAAGTTGTTAAGGAAAAACTGAAATCTTATAATACAGTGTGTTTCTAAAAACTGCCAACATATTTTCTAATCGATAAAGAAAAGTAATAAATTTGGTAACTGAACTAAGGCACTTCAGTATCGATCGTTCTTTTGACCGAGTCAGTCGATAATTTCGTTAAAGGCCGAGCCGGTTCCTAATTACTTGGTGTTTGTTTTTAACTTTTTACATATTAGACAAAAAATTAAAAAGTGTATACTAATAATTGATACAAAATAATATCGGTCCCCGATGGGGGACAAAAATAAACAAGGGACGTCTTTTATGACGACAGATACTGACATAAATAACAGTGATTCCAATTTAAGTGTTAATAATATTAATAATAAATCTAGTGAGGATAGTGATGTCCAGAAAACAGCGAAGCAGTTGGAACCGAAAACATTCAATCTCCTCTCAGATAAGTACAATGTACAAAATATTTGGGTATACATAGAAAGTACCGACAATAACAATTTGGGTAGATTACATCCAATGACTGTTGGTCATATTCTTTTTAAAAAATTTAATCTTAAAAGCATTCTTGAAATTAAAAGTATAGGCCGAAACCGGATTAAAGTTTTATTAAAATCACTTCTAGAGGCAAATAATTTAGTAAATCATCCACAACTGAAATCAGAAAATTTAAGAGCATTTATACCGAACCATTTACTGGAAGTTAAAGGGCTAATAAGAGACGTGGATACTCGTTTTGATATTGACTATCTCATGGAAAATATCGAATCAGAATCACGCGTTATTAACATATATAGGTTAAATAGGAAAGTGCAAAAAGAAGACAAAACAGTCGAATTTGTACCAAAAAAATCTATTGTCGTTACTTTCGAGGGGAATATTTTACCAAATCGCGTAGCTTTTAATCGAGTTTTTTTCTCGGTTGAACAATTTGTAGGAAGAGTAACTCAGTGTTACAAATGTTTAAGATATGGGCACGTATCTAAACAGTGTAACAGCACTCAAGAAAAGTGTATAAATTGCGGTGAAATTAAAGACGATAAACATAATTGTGATAGAAATATGATTTTTTGTATACACTGTAAAAGCAAAGATCACGTATCTATCTCAAAAAAGTGTCCCTCTTATGACAATCAAAAAAAAAATTAAAAATATAATGCTAGAGCAAAAAACCTCATTTAAGGAAGCCAAAGAAATATCTGAAAATTCCTTATCCAGTTTAGTAAGTCACAACTCCTTTTCACCTCTAACAAATTATGACAAACATTTTCCAGAACTTCCTAACAACGAACGTATATCGTTATCTCAGCCAAATCGTAATCAAATCTCTTCAAATTTTAATTACAATCAAAATAATTCCTTTTCTCAACACACTCATGCGAGTGCTAGACCTCCAATCAAAAAGAAGAGAAAATCAAACTCTCCCACTATCCAATCACCTGTTCAAAAACCATTATTTCCATTTACCTTTGGACCTTCACAACCTTTGACAATAAATTCAAATAAACCAAACTACTCTAGTTTGGAAATCAATAAAAGTAGTATAGCTAGCAATTTATCGATTTTTATCATGGACTTTATTAATAAAATAATTTCAAGTAACAATAAACAACCTATTGATATTAACGTAATTACAAGTAGTATAGAACAAGTATTGGAGGATACTTTGAAAAAACCATAAAATTCAATCCAAAAACACGCAATTTAAATATAATGCAATGGAATGCACGTTCTGCTATAGCTAACAAAAATAGTCTGGTACAATTTCGTTTTGATAAAAATATCGACGTTGCGCTTATAAGCGAAACTTGGTTTAAAAAAAATCAACAATATAATTTTGGTGGTTACAATGTAATCCGCAATGACAGAAACGATGGCTATGCTGGTGTGGCAATTTTAGTACACAAATCTCTTCGATTTGTGGAACAAAAGATCAATATAAATTACAATGAAAATATTTTAGTATGTGCTATACAAGTTAAATATGGAACTTTATCGTTAAATTTTGTATCTATTTATAATCCTCCAAAAATACAAACAATATATGAAGATTGGGTAAAAATTTTTGAACAGTTTGATGGGCCTTTAATTATAGGCGGTGATTTTAATGCACACCACTCTATATGGGGCTGTCATAATAATGATACCACAGGATCACAACTAATAAATGTTGCAGATGATTTAAATTTAACGGTTTTAAACAATGGAGAACCTACGATTTTAAGACGTCCCGATCAACGGGATTCAGCAATTGATGTAACCTTTTGTTCACCTGAACTAGTTAACAAAACATCTTGGAATGTCATCTCTGATACCCTAGGATCAAATCACTATGTCATTTCTATAGAATTAATTTTTGCAATTAATGAAAATGAAATATCTCCTAAAAATAAATGGAATATTAAAAAAGCCAATTGGGCGTTATATACCTCAACGATTCAGATTTTGCATGAGACGAACATCAGTCACTCGGATAATCTAACTGAACAGTACTCCTTCTTCATTAATAATATAAATACGGCCGCAGTAGCAGCAATACCCCAATATAAACCTTATAAATGTAAACGGCACCCACCCCCTTGGTGGAATATTGATTGTGACAATATTATCAAACAAAAAAAAATTGGCTTTAATAAATTACAAAAAACACACTAATTTTGAAAATTACGTTCAATACCAGGAGATCTCGGC